TTTTTGCTCCAGCTTTACACACATGCCTCATTGCCACAGTAATGCAATTCAGAGGTACACACTGAGGTCAAAAGGTAGCACTTTTTTTTAATGCAAAATAGATTTGCTGTTGTTTTATTTATTTAAAACATTTATAAACTCACAAGCTTAATATTTTTAAAAGAGCACTAGGAAGCATGCAGCATAAAAACAGTTCACAATGGGTGGTATTCTGCTGTGTTTTGCTCAGAATAGACCCACTGATATTAATTTTTTTAAAAAATTACAGTATGCCATCCTTAATGGACATATTCAATCATTAACTGAATATTAATGAACATGACTGTTATGTCCATTAATTTCAAAAGGTCTACTCTGACTAAAACTTAGCCGAGTGCCATCCAATAGTATTACAACAAAAATACTACACAAACCTACATGCACCAAGGACCAATTTAAACATGATTTGGGAGATTCTTGATCAGGCCTCCCATTTATTAAACACAGATGAAAGGGTGAAACAGAGCCATGGTGCAAGCTAAGGGGCTTATCCAGATTCCCCCATGTAGCACCTCTGATCTCAATCCCCCCCCACCTGCTGTTAGCCATGGGGGTGGGAGAAGGAGAGACAGGAAATATATGGGTATCAGTTTTTCTGCCCCCCGCCTGCTGTTCACAGCCAACTGTAATTGCGGGGATGGGTTTTTACTGGGGCTGTGGTGTGGGGGGAAATGTTAGCCCCCTCCTCAAGTGTCATCTTGGCCTGCTTTCAAATGACTCCTTCTCTCACAGGTGCTTTTAACTCAAGAAAAGGGTGTTGGGTGTGATGTGGGCGACTCACATCACATCTGCTTTGGACCTGAGACAGAGAATCTGGTGACACCACGAACCTGCGTGGTTTAGCCAAGAACAGAATGGATGCTGGTTATGATTCAAAGCAAACAAGACACTGGCAGTGAATCATACAGCAAGGAAAGAAACCTGTTGTTCAATGGAAAGTGGTTAATACATCGGGAAATATATGTGTAACCTATACAACCTGCATAAGAAAAGGAGAAAAAAGACGATTCACAGCTTAGCCTGCAAATATGGCAGGCTGGCCAGTTTGAAAATGGCTCTGCTTTGCTCAAGAAGACTCTCCAAAGGATTGCAGAGAAGCATAGATCCATTTTCTCCACCCCAGTCCAGCTGGGCCGCTTCCTTCAGACTCATCCATCAAGAGCCAGACCTGCCTGCGCAGATGCATGTGCAAAGGAAATATCTCGGGGCCCCACATGGCTTCTAATGGGACCCTGTCACCCCACTGATTTAGCGCAGCTCACTTCAGACGCGGTACACAAAGCAGGACGAATGATTGGGGAATCTCGAAAGTAGAAAGGAATGCCACCTGCTTTACCCTCATCCATATTTGTCAAATATGCCCTTGGACGGGCAGGAATTAATCCCTCTTGTGTTTACCTATTGCTTTCCCAAAGACCCATCAAGCCCAGGGCTGACTGGCTGCATCTCTTTGCGGGTCTCTTGGGGGGGGGATACCCTCCCAGCCCCAATACTTGAGATCTTCCATGGGAAATTAAACCCAGGACTGTATACATAATAGATAAATAAAAACCCACCATTTCCTACTAAGCTGCAGTTTCCTTCCCTAGATCCCTTGCAGGCCTTTTGCCCATGGCAATAAGAGCATCCTTTCCCCCTGCACCTGCTTGTTGTGTTTCCTCTTCCTCCTCTGACCTGCCCACAGAGCACTCAGCTCTGCAGCCATCGCAGCTCAAGGCTGGGAAGCTGTTGTGTCATTGACTGCCTGGGCTGGGCACGCCCGTTTGCCAGTCCAACGTGGCACAGGGCGGAGCGGAGGAGGCGAGCTGGTCCTCCCTGTCAGCTGCTGCCTCAGCACGTGTCAGGCCCTTGGCCCGGGATGTTCTGTGGTTAAGGCCAGGGAGCAGCTCAGGCAGCACTAAAAACAGCTCCGCCTGGAGCTATTCTCATCCCGTCAATATTTATATAGCTGTCTCAGGTGCAGCACCTCGTTCCAGAGACGTTTTATTTAGGGGCCGGTGGGAGGCAGGGCGCAGAGTTCAATTGGGAGAAGCGTCAGCAGGAGTAAGAGGTTTCGGAGGCCGAGCCAACGGATAGAAGAGCATTCAGCTCCCCGCGGAGGCTGACGGCTGGCCTGCGAGAGCTGGCAGGGATGGGGAGGGCACCCTTAGGCCACACAAACACTCCCTGCTTCCCCTCTTCCCACAAAGGCAGGCAAGGAGAAGATGGCAGGGAGGAGGGAGACTCAGGGCAAGATGCTGTGCAATAGGAGGCTGGAGGCTGCCATCTCCTCTTCAGAAAGCACCCTGTAGCCTGGTTTGGATTAAAATTTAAAGTTGATGGGTATTTCAGGGAAGCCTGTGTTGTAAGCCATACCTTGCCCAGAGTGCCAAGCCTGCAGTCAGTGCCAAGCTGGGTCTATGAACTTCTTCATACAATACTTCTTTTTTTGGGGGGGGGTAGTGGAAATTCCACCACCCCCAAATGTGGTGGGGTTTTTTGGGGGGGGTGGCCACCTGAGAGGGATTTTTCTCTGTGGCAGCCCCTAAGCTGTGTTATTCCCTCCACATAGAGGTACACATATGCTAAAGAAGCATTTCTTTACCCTGGCTTTTTACAGCTGAGATAAGTATATAGAATTGTAGAGTTGGAAGGGACCCTGGGGATCATCTAGTCCAACCCCCTGCAATGCAGGAATCTCAACTCATGGCAGAGGGCCATCCAACCACTGCTAAAAAAAAAACCAGCAAGGAAGGAGAGTCCACAATCTCCTGAGGGAGACCATTTCACTGTCAAACAGCTCTTACCGCCAGAAAGTTTTTCCTGATGTTTAGTCGGAATCTCCTTATTGGTGATGTCTTAGGACCTTTCTCAGTCTTCTGATTGTAAATTGTTTCAACTGTATTTTTAAAACAGCGTAACTATCGTAACAGCTTCCTATGCTCCTCAAGAACATCATTATTTCATTTATGTATCCAGTATTATTATTCTCATTTATGAATCTCTCCCTATCAGGCATCTGAGAACGACTTACAATAGTGTCCACATGTGATAAAACTACTACATATAGAAAAAGTTTAAACAATTGCACATAGCGAACAATTCAAATATAAAATGTATAGAACAACTGAGCAAGGTACTTCATCCTTTAGGGGGTGAGTTAAAAACATTTCAGAAGCTGTGCTTTCTAGCAATCCCATTGGCCCAGAGGCAGCCAGGGTGTGGGGAATGAGCCAATGGCAGAGCAAAAAGAGCAGTCCCTGGGACTGCAGGGATGCTTAACCCAAAGTCAAATAAAGGATGGGTGAGCAGAGGCCAGGGAGGAGGCAGAGGGCCAGGGAGGCATGGACAGCTGAGCAAGAGAAGAAGCCTTAGTGCTTTGGGTGTGCCTGAAACCCTGAAGTGCAGCATATGACATTTCAGGCCTCTCCTCCTCCTGGGTACGCTGACTGGGAAGACAACGTCCACAAAGGGCCGTCAGTCATACTGGTTTCCATGCAGGAAATCATGACGCATGCATCTGCCCTCTGGTGTCGGAAAAGCAGGGACACCTTGAGTGAAGAAGGGTTTCCACTTCTTGGGAGCGCTGAGGTTAGTATTCTTATTACCTCGGGTGACCTGCTCCACCAACTTAAGGAACCTGAGCTGTCAAGAGGCACTAGCCAGGATCAGCAGCTCCTGCTTTGGGGAGTTGTGGCTCTCGTAGGCCATGGGAGACCTGCCTGCTTCTCAGCTCCTACCAGGGCCCTGCTCCAACACCGCGTTCATCATCCCTGCCACGTTTCGCTATATCTCAAGCAGGAAGGCCATCCGTCAGCCTCGATGCAGCGGGCACAGTGCTTGCCAGCTACTGCTGGCGATGCTAAAATAGCTGTACATAAGGACGGCATGACATAAAACAATGAGAAGTATGGAACTGCCTTAGCAAGGTAGTTATCGCTGCTGTATTTGGCTTTGCGCTTGTTAAACATTGCTAAATTATGCTAAAGGAGCAATGCTTCCACCTAGTGGAAGCGATTGGTCCAACAGGCACGGAGCGGACGTTCAAAGGAGTTAAGGTGGGTTTTGTGTCGCTTTCATCAGGCTGTGCTGTGGCTCTTTCAGACAGGGGAAAGTCCTGTCTGCGAAAGCATCCACTGGCAGACACCTAGGGTAGCCATATGTCCTCTTTTTCATGGGTAGGGTTGTCATAGCGATCCATAGTTAAATGCAGAAGTCGGCAAATGTGTCCTCTTTCTTCTCTCTTCAAAATATGGCAATGCTGGGGCAGCATTACATAGCCGAGACCCAGGGCACAGAGAATTTATCAGCTTATAATTTGCCATTAGGCAAAATTAATTGCTCTTGCGCTTCTGACTCCAGTCACTGTCGTACACTGGAAAAGCAAACACTAAAAAGAAAGGAATCGAGAGGTTGTAAGGGGAAAGATGCCAGATTATGAATCAGCAGGGCAATGGTGCAGCAAGAGAAGCTTCGTGGGTTGCATTTTCACTGAGCCAGCATATTCTGGAGTTGACAATGTTTAGGGAGCCCCTCCGGCGGGGGGGGGGGGGAGGAGGGAGGAGAAAGCTCTGCTCATAGCTCTTGGCATTTATTTATTGTATAGAACGTGCTTTCCATTTCTTCAAAGCAACTTTCTGACATCCTCATTGTGTAAGACGCTTAACTGAAACGGCATCAGTTGCAGAGCATTACATAACACAAAGACGTCCGTCAGCACGAGACTTTTCTCCTTGGGAAAGTCCGTCAACTGCTGCACACAACCCCCATTTATTTCAATTGAGTTTTGTGCCGCATTGGAATGAATGGATATTGTGCTCAGCAAGAATACCTGGGAAAACAGCACCTTGTGACTGCTGGCAACCTCGCCGGCAAAGCTGTTGCATTTTGGCTGCCTTTCTCATCCCAGGGGTCAGTGGCAGAGTTCCCCCCTCCCCCACCCCCAAAAAGTGAGAAAGATTATTACAAAGGAAGATTGGGTTCTCAGTCTTTTAAAAAGTCTTTAATCTTTGGACATATATTTTCTAAGTGTACCGTTGGCAATGATTTTACCATCATTTCTTCACATGAAATCAATCCATCATAGCTAGGGAGGAAAGTTAGCTATCGATTTTTCCTTATTGTGTCAACACACTTTGGCTAGGTTCCATCTGCCAATTAAAGCAGAGTATTTAGATTTAAGCTGATTTATCCCCATTGATTTCAATGGGATGGAACTGGATGAAAGCCAGTGCAACTGATTCGTGGGAACCTCAGGCTGCCTCGGACACAAAACCCACAGTGGCTCTTGCCAGAGAGGACAGCTGGCTACCGGCCACTTCCTAAGCTGGATTTGCAGTCCGAATGCAGAGAGGTGTTTGCAAGCAGCTGCTCTTTGCTAGTGAGAAATATGGCTCTTTTGGACTGGGCTCAGCCAGGCATGTCCGGCTTTGGATAGGGAGCACAAGGTCAACAGACACGAACAGCAGCCGACTCTCCTTGCCCCTTAGCTAAGGCAGCACTGTAACAACCTGGCCTTGTTTCTTGTGCTATGAATTGGGGGTGGGGAACAGGCTATATGCTAGAACACTCCTAACTCCTGGACCCAGCAAGTGTTAAAACATAAGCCAGACTAGCTTCCTGTTGAGGCGATAGCACGGGCAATGGGCCATTATGGGGAACAAAGGAAAGGGGTTCTGTGCAAGATGGCAAGTGGGTGGTGCCCCTCCCCCAACTCGTGGGTACTTAGAAGGACAAAGGCAGAGTGGAGGGCAGAGAGTTGTAGTGATGTGAACTAGAAGCAAAGCTGCAAGCTGGAAAGGGAGAGATGCAGAGAAATGATTGATTTCTGCTGGATGCCAAGGCTGTGGCTATGAGGAAAAACAAGACCTTCTAGGGGTGTTGATGCTGGGAACCCCTCTATCGCAGGCTCAGGTTGTATATGTGTGTAAATAAACCATGTATCATAAAGACACCACAGTCTCTGCTGTGCCTCATTTCCAAAGGAAACATAAACCCTGGAAACTCTGGAATCCTGTGCCGCTCTGAGATTGGGGTGGCATGAAACACTGAGCTTCCAGAGATGTGTAGATCTTAAGCTGTTTCCCAGGACAGTTTGTTCAGTGTTTGGAGCCACATTTGCAGAATGTTTGTGTTTTAGCGCATTAAGGAACAGAAGCCAAGATGCTGTCTTGTAAGTTGGGGTGGAAGGGATGTAAGCTCAGCGGCAGAGCATCTGCCTGCATCCAAAAGGTCCCAGGTTCAATCCCTGGCATCTCCAGGTAGAGCTTGGAGAGCATCCCTGCCTGAAACCCTGGAGAGCTACAGCCAATCGGTGCAGACACTCCTGAGTTAGACGGACCCAATGGTCAGACTCTCAAAGGCAGACTCCTATTTCCTAAGTCTGGCAGCAGAGACGGGCTTTCAGAAGAAATGCTGCTGCTGCTGCTGCTGGGCATTTTTACCCAGTGGGTCCCTATTCTACTAAAATACCCAGTCTCTACTCAGGAGCCAGCCTCACCCAGGACTCTAAACTTTGCCCCTTTTCCTGTAGCAGGAAGCACAGGATGCATCTCCCAACCAACCCAAGGAGGAAGGAAGCAGAAACCGGAGCCTTTGAAAGAAACTGCAGCCTTGGGTACAATAGGAGCATTCAGGAGGAGCGCATTAGCTGATTTATAAAGCTGGGAGTGGTAGTGGTAGCAAGAACATTTTGCAAACACGCTTGTGGCACACCTGTGTCCATCTATCTGCAAGAGCAGTGCCCACATGGCTCTGCAATGCCCAGAGCAAAAGACCGGAGATCTCTCTCTAGCACTGGGCCCAGAGACAGAATGCAGCAGAGTGGCTTCCCGTCCATCCCTTTTCCTGAGCCAGGAGGGCAGCTCAAGGGTCCTACTGGGGAGGTCACAGCTTCTTAAAATCCTCCAGTGCCATTCTAGCCGCATTGCGCCCCGCCGCTCCCATGACACCTCCTCCTGGGAAGAAAAGGGAGATGTTGCAAGAAGAGGGTGGGCAGCTTAACTGGGTCCACAGCCAGCAAGCCAAAGGGTAGAACTCTTGTGGGTATTTGCCACTGGGAATCCTTGAACCCAGTTCACTCACCCCCTAGCAGGGCAGGAATAGGAAGGGACCAAAATTCCTCACAGCAAGAACCCAGAGAAGGGAGAGCACCTCCTTTTGTTCCCCTTCTTAGCTGTGTCGTAAGAAAGCATTCAAACAACCTAAAAATGCCCCACAGAGAAGATTCACAATCCAGTCCCAAGCCAGCGTTAGCCAGGAGGGAGGAGGCTGAAGACGAGGCAGGGAATGTCTCCAATTATCCTTCCAGACACCAAAAGCTCTACCTATCCCAGGCAGACCCAAGCCAAAGCCACCGACATAGCACATAAAATGTGTGCTTGCATTTGATGTACATGTTGAATTTTGCTTGTTTTGTTTTAAATAGAAGCTATGGGGGAGAGGGTCAGTGGTGTTAACCCTTTCTCCTGTCACAGTGAAAAACCCCTTCTCCTTGAGGTGAAGTAAAAGAGAGGAGAGGAGGGATTTCATTGGGATTTGCAGCACAGGGGAAAAGGTTAGCACAGACAAATGTCTGCCCTTTACAGCAGGGGTGGGAAACCTCTTTGAGCCCAACCTTCTGAGGAGGGTCACATTCCTAGAGTGGGCGGGGCAAAAAGATGAAGTGGGCGGGGCAAAAGGCAAACCTGAAACGTAAAGAAATACATTGAAAAATTAAACAAGCAGGCAGGATCTTTAAGAGTAAAAAAAACCCCAGCAGTTTCCACCCACTCCAGGGTGGGGCACCCATGGAGTGCCCCCTCTCTCTTGTCCTTGGGCAAAGAAGGCCTTCTGCTGCTCTCCCCAGAGGCACAGCCTGAGACCCGGCTCTAGAGACACCTTAGAGGAGCATGGCAAACTCACCCCACAGCAATGCTGCATCCAGTGGGCTTTTAGGAAAATGTGGACCAGGAATGCAACCAGACGCCCCACCCTCCTCCCTGGCCCTCTCTAGCCATCCCCTTCCCACCGAGGCCAGGCTCTCTCCCTCGTTGTTGCTGCCCCTGCCAGATACGTACCGGGATGGGCGCCACTTCCACAGAGGTAGAGGCCTTCCACTGGAGATCGGTAGCTGGAATAGGAAGGCACTGGCCGGGCAAAATACAGCTGGTCCAGAGACATCGCTCCATGGAATATGTTCTGAAAACCAGAGGCAGCATCAGACAAGGTAGCTGGGAAGCAGCAGTGCCCTGTCTCTGCTTCCCAGTACAAAGGGAGGCGAGAAGTGGAGGCTGGGAGATGGGAGGCAGCTGGGGCAGAAGTCTGTGTGGGTGTTAAAACTCATCTGCAACATCTAAGCCGTATCAGCCAATTTGGAGAGGTTGCCCTGGAAGGGCATGGCAAGGCAAAGCTGGGCAGGAGAGTCTATGGGCAGAGATTCTCAGCCAATACATACCCCACCAGGTAGGCCAAAGATCCGCTCAAGGTCTGGAGGCGTCAGGACATCCCTGCCGACAACAGAGGCCTTGAACCCAGGGGCGTAGGCTTCAACACAATCAAAGACTACAAGGGGAAGAGATGCCACATGGGAAAGACTGAGAGTTGCCTCAAGGAAGGCTAAGTATTAGTCACCCAGGATCCACACACCCCAAACAAACACCTGGTTTTCTGACAGGGATTGAACTGGAATTTCAGCACCCAAGAGTCACTAAGACTAGACAATCACACTTAGGCACCATGGAGGCACCCTTCTCAGCTGACCCTGGGCATTGGTCTCCAGCCACCCCTGAGACTCATGGAAGACCAGTGGGCAACATCTGGACCCAGAGAAGATTGTGCTACACAGTTTTAAGCAGGAGGGTTCTCTCCCCAAAGAGAAGGGGTGCAAAGCACAGGGTAGAAGGGTGTGCAAATGGGAGACATGGCCCAATGGAGTAAGGTTTGGGGTGGTGGTAAGCCTTCCCAAGAATGAAAAATTCTCCCCTTTCTCGAGAGGCAGCGCAAAACCACCATTGCTCCTGCCAGTCCTCCGTGCAATGGCTGTACCTCGGTCAGCATAGTCCTCACGCTCACGGTCGTCCCATTGCTTCCCTCCGGCCAGTGTGTAGGGGGTGTACTGAGTGAAGAGAGAGACCACGTGGCAGCCCGGCGGAGCCAGTGAGGGGTCCAGGGCAGACGGGATGCACAGTTCAATCATGGGCCTGGAACGTCAGAGAGAGGCCAAGCAGGAACCCTTGGGGTCAAGTCCAGAAGAACCTTAGTGCAGCTGCTTCAGCCCTACTGAACTTTCCATCTAGCACCAGCAAGGCTTCCAGCAGTGACTCTACTCTGGCTGTAGACCTGCAGGTATCGCAAACTGCAGGGCTGGATATTGTGGATGTTGCTGGACTCTACCACCAACCCTGACTACTGGCCATGCTGGCTGAAGATGATGCGAGTTGGAGTTCAGCAATTTCTGGAGGGCCACCATCACTGTTGCAGTAGAAGGGGATGTAAGGGGGACACATATTTAGAAGAGAAGATGGCCACAAGCCTGGAAATAACTCATTGAAAAGACCCATAGTATGTAGAGTGAGAACAATGCAGGACAATGCTGCATACTTCCTACTTGCTTGGTGCTGATCTTGCAAAAATAAAAAGTTATTGAGCAATGGTTATTCCCATAAACTAATACAGTAAACATTGAGGAGGGAATCACTGTATTTGTGACAGATGTGGCCCAGGGCTTGGGAGTGTTGAATCTGAAAGATGCAGCTTTCCATTTTCCAGCTTAATCTAACATGTTGTTAAGAACATGATGCTTAAAGCCCAAGGATGCAATTCTATGCACATATGTCTAGGAGTAAGTAAAATTAAGCTCAGTGGAACTGAGCATGCACGCATGTTTATTTGTTTTCTGTACAATGGACACTATAAGAGGTTGAACTCCAAGGTGAACTGCAAGAGGGAATGTAATTTATATTCTGCTCTTAAAGGGCTGAACAAATGATAATAACCAGAGCGACACCGGGGGGGGGGGGGTGCAGACACCTAGCAGAGCCTTTTGCTGTTTCAGGGAGTTTGCAATGGAAGGCAGAGCAGAACGGTTGCCAAAAGCCGGCGATGCAGGAGGTGCATCTAAATGAAAGTGTCTGCCCTGCACTCGTCCCTGGGGCAGATGGCTGGCAGACACTCCAGCGTCTAAAACAGCTAATTGTGTGTGTAGGAAACAGTGCTTCCCAAAGCACACACAGGATTATAAATATGTTGGAGGAGAACTTGACAATATCCATTTGTTTTTCGAGAAGAGGAGTTTTATCTCATTAGACCAGGATCGTATCATGGTAAGGTCTTGAGACTAGGAACTATGCCAAAACGAGGCTGCTGTGAGCAATGTGGGTTTCTGCAGCGGTCAGCTCTCCTCTGCAATTTTTACATTTTCTCTCCCTTCTTACAGCTGATCTCCGCTTGGGCTTTGGCAACGAGGGAGACAAATCTGGGCTCTTCTGATTCGCAAACAAGTGCAGGGTTAGGAAACAGGACATGAGGCCTGGGTCACTCAGGGGACTTGCCTGGCAGGGCTTTACAGATGCAAGAAAGCAGCAACCAGGGTCCACTCACAGCTGTTTGACATGAGACAAGAGCCCCTTGTAACTCAGTTTTAAGCACACTCTTTCCCTTAGCTGTTCTTGTTCCTTGGCTAGGATGGGGCCAATTTTAGCTAAAGGATTCCCCATCCTGCCCACCTGTGCCAGTCAGTCCTTGTGGGGATTAGCATTCCCACTCATACCTGCTTGACGGTCTCCCCTGGCAGGCGTCCTCAAAGGCCTGGTGCAAGAGCTGTATGTCTTCACAGTTGAGGTGGATGGAGCACTGGTGATGGGGCAAGGGGCAGCCATCCCTGGCATTGGGGGCCGCTCGGAAATCAGGCAACCGATCCACAGCCACTGTGGACAGAAGGAACAGAGGGTGAGGCTGGACAGGGGTGATGTCAGGGGAGGAGCAAAGGGGGCCCAAGGCCCAAGTCTTTTGTGCTAAGCCCCACAACTCCCACTTCTTCCCCCTCATTTTCAATACTTGGACTAATGCAATGCGCTCTGCGTGGGGCTACCTTTGAAGGTGACCTGGAAACTACAATTAATCCAGAATATGGCAGCTAGATTGGTGACTGAGAGTGGCCGCCGAGACCACATAACACTGGACTTGAAAGACCTACATTGGCTCCCAGGACGTTTCCAAGCACAATTCAAAGTGTCGGTGCTGACCTTCAAAGCCCTAAACGGTCTTGGCCCAGTATACCTGAAGGAGTGTCTCCACCCCCATCGTTCAGCCCAGACACTGAGGTCCAGCTCTGAGGGCCTTCTGGGGGTTCCTTCACTGCAAGAATTCTCAGTAGTGGCGCCTGCCCTGTGGAACGCCTCCCATCCAATGTCAAGGAAATAAACAACTATCTGACTTTTAGAAGACATCTGAAAGCAGCCCTGTTTAGAGAAGTTTTTAATGTTTGATCTTTTATCGTGTTTTTAATATTCTGTTGGGAGCTGCCCAGAGTGGCTGGGGAAACCCAGCCAGATGGGCGGGGGGAAAATAATAAATTATTATTACTTTGCTTTCAGGCCACCTGGGACTCTGCACGGTGCGGTGCCAGTGAGACCCCAGCCACTCATGATCTTCATTCCGGCTGGGCAAAAACAAGAAGGATGTAAAGTAAGGCTGAGGGTGCATTCTGGGAAGAGTCCCAAGGCACTTGAGGGCCTGCAATTCCCCACCCCTGCTCTGCTTCCATGCGCATTTGTGTGGTGGACCTGCTTCCAAGTTCTAAAAGCAATGTCCCCATTTCCAAATAAAGCACAAACACCCTCTGTGGTGTCAGAGTGGCTTGCCTTTTGGTGCAAGAGGGAGGTGCACTTTTTAGCACATTGCACCTAATTTATTATAGTGCGTCCGGGTGCAGCTGCATGAACTCATTGTTATTTTATAGCCAAGTGGTATTTGGATTTATTAACAGCCTCTTCAGGAAAGCGGGAAAGAGCAGGCAGGCCAGTCATCTGTGAGAAGGGGAGCATCCAGTCCCTCTGCCCTGGCTGGATATATGCCCCCTGCCACCAACACACTATCAGCAAGGAAACAGCAGGGGAAGGGGCGGGGAAGGCTACCAACCACGTCTTTGATTATTAAGAGGTTTTAGGAGAAAGCTGCATAAATATTCATGGGGAGGGAAGAGCAGGGTGAACCCAGGGCTCTTATGGAAGAGAAAATGGGAGCCCTGGAGTCTTGCTTCCCCAATTCTTCCCTCTATTCTCCCAGCAGCCGGCCTGGGCATTTTATTGGGAAGACTTAGACCACATCATTGTGTTTCCAGTCACCACTACCCTTCTTGCCCTTGGAAGCTTTGCGAGTGCTGCGGGGGGGGGGGGGACGGACCCTGAGCAACGTCAGGGAAAGGGGTGTTTCTAGGACTAAGGTGAAACTGATGCCCCCTTGGTATGTTTGCTATTGAATGCTGCATGTTGTTTAAGCAATCTTGTTATATTTATTGTATCAAAACACATTTTTTTAAAAAATGTTATTACATTTGCTCTTGTTTTGCTGTTGTGATGAAATTGTTTTTGTAGTGTTTGCTTGAAATGCATTCCTGTTTTCTTTGTTATTATCCGCTTTGAGCATGATTTTGGGCGGGGGGCAGGCGGAGGGAAGAGACATACAAAAGAATGAACCTGCTCCTTGAAACCTTCTTGAAAAACCACCCATTAGTAGTGTTACTGCTCCCTCTGCTGGCCACACATGGTGCTGCTGGCCTCCACTTGATCACAAGGTCCATGTTCGCATCTACTGCCCTTGGGCAAGACATTGAAAGACTTCCGTTCTCTTCCACATGTAAATGCTCACGTACTTCATCCACAGGGTGACTCTTCTCCTGCCTGCTGTTTGCAGGACCATGGAAGTGCAGAACCTTTGCATGTAAGCATCTGGCTCACTTTGCCTCCATGAAATACTCACCATTGATCTTGGTGACTGGAGAGCGTGAGTCAAACTGGGAGATTCTCTGGACAAATTCTGGGGGCAGCTGCTCCTAGAGAGAAGAGCCAGACACATAATGAGAATCCTGTGGATATAGTTTGGTATCTGGAAGAAAACTGGAGGTTAAACTGCTCTCTCTCTCTCTCTCTCTCTCTCACACACACACACACACACATATATACACACTTTCTAACAGCTGGTAATCAGTCCCCCAAAGGGGTGTTGCTGTCCTGGCATCCTGGGCAACCAGTTCATTGCCTCTGATTCCAATGCTAATAATAATAATAATAATAATAATAATAATAATAATAATAATAATATATTTCAACATTTCACACACAAACACATTATATAATTTTTTAATTAAATTTTCTGTTTCACAATTTAAAGTACTAAAGTACTGCTTTTTACATCCTTAAGATATCAATGACTTCCCTTTTTCTCTATCCATGGTTCATTCTGCATATCATAAATCCCTGCATATTTTACAAAAACTATACCATTCAGTATTCCATTACTACATCCATCAAAACTTATCTACACTGTTGAATTTATCTTAATGCTGCCAGCGTTTTCAGCTGTACACAGTTATTTTCCATATATTAAATAAACACTTTCCAATCTTCTCTAAACGTATGTTATTCTTGTTCTCCTATCCCATATGTTAAGTCTGCAAGCTGCACATATTCTGTCAATTTAAGTTGCCCTTCTTCTTTGGTTGGGACCTTGCTCATTTTCCATTTTGGGGCTAACAAAACATGGACCACAGTAGTGGCATACATAAATAACCTTTTTTGACACCTGGGAATTTCAGTCTGAATTATCCCCAACAGAAAAGATACTGGGGGGTTTTTTTTGGAAAAGTACTTTTGAACATTTCTTTCAATTCATTATTTATCATTTTCCAATACTTTTTTACCCTTTTACAAGTCCACCAATAATAATAATAATAATACATTTCTTGCACCCCACTGGGTTGCCCCAGCCACTATGGGCGGCTTCCAATGAAGTATAAAGGAACACACCAAAACATCAAACATTAAAAGCTAATAATAATAATCTACCTATGAAGGCAGCACTCCCAGACAGTACCCCGCCCCCCGAACACAGCAGACCAGAGAGCCCTGAAGTGTTTTTAAGGTAGGGTGGCTCAAAGTGGTCCAATATTAGAGTAAACATTAAATTTGAGAGGGTTTCCAGCTGTACTGAAAATGCATAGTTCATTGCTATTACGGAAGAGTAGGAGAAACCAGAAGCACACTGTTTGGGGCTCAGCTTCTTCACTCTCATCCTCAACTCTCCCTCCCTCTCTCTCCATGCTTTCAGTCTCTGGTCAGCTCAGTTTCTCCTTTCACAGCAACACTCTGGTTTGCAGGTACAGAAAGCAAGACAGTGCAACTGGCTACTGAGTTGTAGAAACTGGGCTTTCACAGTTAGCCTGGACCAGAACAGCAGGATATTTTGCTCGATCATTCCTAGGTGAGGGCTCAGCCTTAAAGGGGGTGCCTCTGCTCCCCACTCTTCTAGGGTATCTGTAATAAACTGGCATTGTTCCTCAAGGACCAGAGGGCAAATAGACCTACCTTACATCCTTTGCAAGCTCTGGGCATCCTGCTGCTTGATAGGAAAAAGCAAGGCTAGTGGACAAGACTGGAGAATCCCCCAAGGCTTCCCATGCTATGCCAAGGAGGAGGACTCACCTGAGGAGTCAATTCCAGAAAGGTGAGCTGCGGAGATGCATTTGACAGGACCAGGCGGCTCTTCACTTCTGTTCCGTCCTGGAGGCAAACACCTTGCGCCTTCCCATCTGAGCTCAGAAGAATCTGGGCAACAGCCTGCAGGGTTGAGAAGAGGGAGAAGTAACCGAGAGTATAAATGCGTCCGTGGAGAAAGCTAATTCTCACCGGCCCCATATCAACAAGATACCAGCAGGGGTAGGAAGGACCCCGGCTTCAGCTTCTCATCCTCCCCACCAAAATCTCCAGGGATGCCAACATCACTGTCATTTTGCCTCTGTCTTCTGCTGCATGCCAAACGTGGCATCCCATTGGGACCAAGCGATTGCATTCACTGCTCCAGGAAAATCACTAGGGCGTTTTGTGGACCAGAGTCTGCTGAAGCACAATTCACGGAGAGGTTCGCCTCTATCCATTTGGGTCTGAATAGAGACAATGATTTCCTGTCCCGCTGCAGACGTTAATTAACTCAGCTTTGCAGAGTTTTGTCACCTCTCACTGCAGTTGCAAACAGGCACTGCACTGACTCTGTGTGCCTTCTGGCTATAATTGCATTGCTTCTGCCTGCACTTTTTCTGCTTTTAATTTCCCTCTGGCCTCGCTGCTTTCAAGGCTCTCGCCTTCATTTGTAAATATGTATGTCGCTGCGACTGAGGATTAGGCTTTGTGCATCTGATAAAGTGGACTCTGGTCCAGAAAAGCCTTTGCCAGACTTGTTCATCTTTACGGTGCCACAAAACTCTAGGTTGTTTTTGCTGCCACACAGACGAACACAGCTACCCCTCTGGGAATTGTGCCAGGATAACTTCTTTCCCCTGTGCCATCCCATTATGTCAGTATCCCTCGCACTGCACTGCTTGCCCTTCACTGGATCCACCCACCTTCTCCGTGAAGATCTCAGCCCCGAGTGCAGTTGCAGCATTGGCCAGGGACTGGGAAAGTGCTCCCATGCCCCCAGCCACATAGCCCCAGGCCCCCTGGCGCCCCTCCAGCTCACCCATCACATGGTGCAGCAGCACATACCTACGAGAAAGACCAAGAGTTAGGGGCTGCCACAGGCAGGGCTCCGAGCTCCCAGAGCATGGCAAAAGACGCAGCATCTCCCCGGCAGAAGCTGGCCAGTCGTGCTTGACAGGCTTGGCGCCATTTCAGCTTTCTTTACCTTCTGCTTACATTCATCTAAGCAGGGTTCTGTTACAATGCACGGCACTTTCCCCTCCGTGCACGTTGTTATCATTAATGGCTTTATTTATTACAATATTTAATGCCCTACATTTTCAGTCCCGAAGGACCGACAAAAAAATTAAAAGCCTGGGGCGGAATTCAAAGCAGCGCTAAGGAGATCGCTCTGTCGGCGCAAGCATTTCTGCTTGTCTGATGGAACAATCTCCTCTCTCCTCCCAGAGAGGGGGTGGTTCTCCTGATCAGCCAGAGCTGATGGGAAGGTGGGGGGGGGGACAGGGAAGGAACATAAGGTAAGAGTGCAAGAAGCACCTGAAGAAGAAGAAGAGTTTGGATTTGATATCCCACTTTATCACTACCTGAAGGAGTCTCAAAGCGGCTAACATTCTCCTTTCCCTTCCTCCCCCACAACAAACACACTGTGAGGTGAGTGGGGTTGAGAGACTTCAAAGAAGTGTGACTAGCCCAAGGTCACCCAGCAGCCGCATGTGGAGGAGCGGAGACGCGAACCTGGCTCACCAGATTACGAGTCTACCGCTCTTAACCACTACACCACACTGGCTCTCTGCTAGGCTAGACCAGACCACTGGCCATCTAGTCCAGCATCCCCAATGCCTTTGGGAATCCTACAAGCAGGACCTGGGCACAACAGCACTGGGAAGGTGGGGAGTCCCATTGTGCTGCCTTCTGCTAGTGCAGCTAGTTAGTTGAACCTGGCCCACGAAGTTCTTAAGTAAGGAATAACTCATCTCTGCTTGTGTTGAGCACTGCCCATCTGCAGACCTCTGATGGCTCTGGTGGACAAGGGATGGGGAACCTGAGGCTTTTCAGATGTGGCTGGACCACAGCTCCCTTCATCCCCGACCTCTGACCACACCAGCTGGAACTGATGGGAGCTGGAGTCCAACAACATCTGGAGAGCCCCAGGTTCCCCACTTCTGTTCTGGGTATTCACATAAGCAACAGAGGCCAGGGCCAGACCTGAAACAGGGAGTGGGAAGGGTGTGCACAGAGGCAGGATGGGAAAAACCAAAGGCTGTGTGCACCTGAAGAGAACCTTACCCACTGCCTGGTGTGTGCGGACCAGCCATGGCACCTATCACCGCATCTGTTGCCAGTGTTGCTTTCAGGGGCTCTGACTCAAACCACAAATCCAAGATCTGCAACAAGGTGAAAGAGGAACAGGCTCAGTATGCAATGTCTAAAGGAACCTGCCGATTGATTATAGAAGGAGCAGAAATCATTCTGATGAGAAGGAGGGATTCTGACTGGGTCATGAAGTGGTTTTTACCTTGGAAATGGGGGCCGTCAGAACCTGATAATATTGCGGAAGCTGTTTCCCCAGAGTAAAGCCTGGCAAAAAGGAAAACAGGGGTCTGGTGTAGTTCAAATACAGAGCCAGAGGTTAAAAAGCATCCCTGAACCACTGTCAGTTCCTAACAAAAGGTTTAACCAGGTGAGCATTGCTTCTCCCGCTGGTCAGGCAAGCAGCTGAGCCAAGTCAAAGAATGAGCCTTGCTGGAACAAACAAATGGTCTATCAAATTCAGCATCACCTTTGTCACAGTGGACAACCAGATGTCTCTGAGAAGCCCTCACCCACAGTAACAGTAGCCCTCTGCCACTATTGCCCCTCCAAGCACACTGCCTGGGGGGTTGTTCCGGTTGTAAACAACCTGTGTTTAGAGCAACAAAGGGCTGATAGAGAGATAATTGAAGGGTAGGGTTGAGAAACCTGCTAAACTTCAGACATCATTGAACTCTAATTCCCATCAGGCCCAGGCACCATGACCAATGGACAGGGATTATGGGCCCACAGGTTGCCCCATCACCAGCATAGAGTAACACATATAGAGGTTCTGACACACCGTCAACATCTGGGGTCTCCAATGTGGCACTCATGAGCACCACAGGAGCTACAGACACCCCCTGATGCCCGTCAATCTCCCTACTCCTCCCAATTTTTATTTTTTAACAACTGAGTGTTGCTTTCATCGGCTGTTTATTTAGGATACCCTTTTGAGGGGGTGGGGCCTGCTGTTTTGGCTCGTATTTAGTTGTTTAATTGTTTGGGGAGTGCAATTTTTCCATTCGTTTGAAGGGGAAGGCTGCGCATTGCCAATTTCTCTTTTGTGAAATGGGTATTTTGTGGTGCCCATAACAGTTCCCTAGATTTCCAAATGTGTGTCTGAGACCAACAAGGTTAGCTACCCCAATTTAAGTAGTTAGGTCAGAGGTTCAGTCGCACACACATACACACACAAAATGGCCCATGAGGGGAAATCCAGTGGGCACACATTCTTGATTTAAGGCCACCCTGAGGCCAAGAATGTTGATCTAGCCCCTCCATCCTTTACCTGCACGTATCAGGGCCCGTAAGCCTCGTAAGGCTCTGAGCTTCTGAAGAAGGGAGCCCTGGCTGAAACCAGCCACATCCAAAGGGCAGGTATCAAGAAGAGGGTCTATGGCTGACACCAAGCGGTTCATGAACGCCTCATACTTGGGAAAGGCCTACAAAGGAAAAAGAAAACTGCTGTGTGCTGTTCTATCAGCCATGTCAAGCAGAGATTCTCCCAAGACACCAACTTCCATTTGCCAAGGGAATGTTTTCTTACAGGCCAGTCGTGAGTGTTTGAGGTCCAGTCAGTCCCTGCAGGTTTTTGGGCCCAGTTTCCTGTGGCCCTGACTCATTCAACACTTTTGCCCAGGCCGATGCTACTATTAGGCAGAATGAGGAAGCTACCTAAGGCAGCTGATTTTAGCTGTCATGAAAGCAAATTGTTTACTTTAATATTCAGAAGCAACTCACCAAGTGGGGTGGAGATGCTAGAATAGTCTCCCGGCAGGTGGGTTACAAGAAGTTGCAGGGAGGATGGTGCAAACACAATGGCGAAGCCAATCCAACACTCCTGCCAGTGTGTTTGCAACGTGCCGAGTTCCCTGCTGCCTCCCCGCTCCCCATCTTGGTAAGCAACAGCAACTCACCTGCTGGGAAGCTAGCACATTGATTTTGGCCCACCCAGCAAGCCGCTTCTATGATTATTACTATTGTATTTTTTACTGCCAGAGGGATGCTTTGGGCGATTTCCCCGCAGGGGCCAAAATTACTTGGCTGGGCGGGAGGCTGTGTATGACCATTCCCCACTCCAGCAACAAAATGTCTTGGGCTGGGCCTGTTTCTCACCCCTCCATACCTGAGGAAGTTTTCCCCACAATACCTGGGCATCCTTTACAGAGAACTGAGCAATCTGGCTCTGTGTGTCAGCCATGTTGTTCCCCAGCAGCAGTGAGCGGGGGGCTTTTCCGGCCCGAGCATCCTCCAGCAGCGGTGTGTAGGAATAAGGGTCACGCGGAAGCACTTTTAAGCCATGTCTCTGGAAGACAGAAGGCAGCATGGGCTCTAGGCCTGGACACAGAACATGCTGAATTATCACACACATGAGGTGAGGCAGATACAGATATAAACTGCTGGGTCCTTGGATTTTAGGAGAGGCTTCACTGTCACAGGTCCACGGACCTCAACCAAGACCAAGTTGTGAACACTGGCCTTAGAATTTGTGCCCATTGGTCATATCATTCAGAATTTTATGCACTGTGTCATCAGCCAATTAAGGCTGCAGTCCCACATGCACCTACCTAACTAGAAGCGAGCCCTGAATGTAGTGGGACTCGCTTCTGAACAAACATGGATAGGCTTGTACCACATGTCATCTCTCAACCTAAATGAATAAAAACCTCACCTTCTCAGCCTAAACCTAGTAACTGACAGCCTTTAGATTATAAGTATTTATCTACCTCAATGACAAATGGGATACCAAGACTGAGGGATGGAGAATGACTATTTCAGACTGTACAACTTGGGTGTCAGGGGTCCTCCAGTCAGAATGTGTATGAACCTGGTAGCTTAGTCATCCAAGCATATTAATTTATTAAAAGATGTAAGAGACAACGCCGACCAAAGAAGAATGGCAAACCAAGTTGACGGACTATGCCGAAATGGCAAAATTAACTGGGAAGCTCAGAAATCAAGAAGAAAAGACCTTTAAAAAACAATGGGGAAAGTTTATAATTTATTTACAAGACCACTGTAAGCAAGTTAAAACATTAGCAGGATTTTAATCACACTTGTAAAGTAACAGAAAATATGGATAATTTGGAAGGAATTTTTTTTGGATAAATACTGATATGCAGCTGTAAATATGATCATTAGGACCCATGGAGGGGTTGGGGGAAAGTCAGGAGGTTCAGAGTAAGCTCAATATTTGGATTTGGAATTGTTTTTGTTGTTGTTTGTTTATACTTTTTAAAAAAAATTTAAAAAAATATTTTAAAAAATATATTAAAAGATCATTAAAATATCAAAGTGGTTTGCCACAGTATTGATATATAACAACACGTACAAAATTTAAAACCAGAGATTATTGAATTAATTATTATGGAAAGATGTATTTTTAATTGTCCACAGAATCCTAGTAGAATAGAGTAATTTTCAGTATGAGTTTAGAGGCCTCTGGCATAGGATTCTACAGGGCTGGGCCTATGCAGAAGAGTAGGAAGGTCAGGTGGTACCCGGTGCAGAATATTTCTTGTCCCCCCCCCCCCATTGTGTTGTTTTGTTTTGTTTTCTTACAAAGGAATGTGGATTCTGGGCCTCTGATAACAAGTAGGCGACTATGGACAGATACTTAAATCTACAGGATGGATTGTGTTTTGGCTTGTGTTATTTTATTTATATTTATTGTTTATTTATTTAATAAAATTTATTTTTAAAAACCTGCGAAGTGGTTTACCAAAACAAAAACAAAAAAACACCACAGCAGTAAAATCAAGAAAAATTGGCTGCGTGCAAGGGGGCGAGGCGAAGGCAAGGCCTAATATACTCAGCCTAGTCTCATTTTCTTCACATAGGCCGACTTTCCAGGACCCGGGAAGCCCAGCGGTGGGTAGGGCAGTAGGATGGCTGCAGTGAATTGAAATTTCAGCCTTCACGACATAGGAAAATAGCCAAGTAAACAGCTATTTTCATGGAGAAGGGTCAAGATATTAACTGATATGCATGAAATTTCACTAATTTCCTGCATGTAGTAATCTACACTAATCCCTAGTGTAGTAAGATAAGACCTTCAGAGCAGGCATTTTTTTTTAAAAGTTTTTTATGAACCACCCTAGTAGAGCAGTAATTGTTCCTTGATAATTTGTCACCCCCCTCCATGATGGCACCTGGGGCAGACTGCCCCCCCTCCCTTTCCTACGCCCCTGGGCCTATGGTAGAACTATGACTGACTTCCTGGATTGAAATTGCTGGCTAAAGATTAAAAAGTGGGGGAAAGCAGAGTGAAAAGAGACTGCCCTGGTCTTTGTTACATGGTAACTTTGGATAATTGGGAAGATACAAGGTCTGTTCAGCAAATCAGAACTTTTTGTTTTTGGAAGGAAGGGAAGAGAATTTGGCAGGCGTTTAGCTTCAGGGGTGCCCAAAAAATGACAAGCAAAAATGGCCAGAAACCATGCAGGAACCCAGCAATTCCCACTGTCATTGCTCACCCTGCCCCACCAGCACAAGCAAACAGCCCATACCTTTAACTCCAGCTCTGCGTAAATCTGGGGTCTCAACAGACTGAGCAGGTAGGAGGCTCTGGAGAAGCGAAACCCTGTAGAACAGGACATGTCAGGTGCACTGAGGAGCAGCGATGGGATGCTGCCTGGAGAAGCTGGAGGGCAGCACCCGGGAAGCACAGCTCTTACCTGGGATAATCTCCTCGGTGACTGCTGCACCTCCCACGAGGTGTCTTCTCTCCAGCACAGCTGTCTTCAAACCACCTTTCCGCAGGTAGGCAGCCTGAAGATGCAAGGAGCATCCCCTTAGCCATGAAGAAGTCCCAGCTGCTTACCCCGTGCCTTTTGCTAAACTTAACAATCACCAGGCAAGAAGATGGTCTTCCCCAGATGACAAGCCAGGTAGGGACCAGCAGCCCCCTCCCTCCAAGCCAATCTCTTCCCAGAGGGCCAAAAGACCTGACGCCATGTCCCCTCAGGAGTTCTCAGTACTCACAGCCACCAGTCCATTGTGTCCTGCAAAGAGACAAGATGAGCAGCTTTGATTTGGGCCACCTCCTCCTCCCACAATTTACTTGGCCACAATGCACTTTTTTTTTTTTTAAAAAAGGCTTCTTTAAAGTTGTTCTTTCCCAAAACTGTGTCCCACAGTCTGAAGTGAAGCATGTTTACTCAGAAGTCAACCCTGCTGAGTTCACTGGAGCTTTCTCTCAAATAAATGGGCAATCCCAGCCACCCTTCCTCCAGTTTAAAGCGTCCTCCCTTTGCATAGCACCACCAAACCAGTAAGCCAGTATGTCCTGCTGGACCCAGACCTAAGGCACCAAGGTTGAAATCCCCACTTGGCCATGAAGCTCGCCTTGGGTCGGTCACTGCCTCTTGGCCTATCCTACCTCACAGGGTTGTTGTGGATGGGGAGAACCGTGTATGCCACCTTGAGCTCCTTGGAGAAAAAGGGGGGATATAAAGGCAATATAGATAGATGATAGATAGATAGATAGATAGATAGATAGATAGAGAACCTGAGGCATCAGGTCAGTGGCCCATCCAGCAGACTGCCTCGACTGTGGAGGATGAGCATAGCCATCACAGCTAGATGCTTCGAACAAGTCTTTTCCTCCCTATATTTGGCCAATCGTCTTTCAACACCAACCTTCTGCTCTTTTCCAGCCTAAGACCATTCTTTGCCCACTTACTCGCAATTCTTCTCCTGCAGGAAAGTTGGCTTTCCTCTTCCTCGTGGGAAGCATTCATTAGCACGGGCCCCCCTGCTAGACCGCCCTGGGCATCTTGTTCGGGGGGGGGGGGCACGGAGTGACCCCCCCTTTTATGTTTCCCGCCTGGACGCCGGGCCCTTGCTTTTTCTGCCAGAGCCACCCACCTGCCCCTATCACGACGGCGTCGTACTCCCGCTTCAGGGAGGCAGCAGCCCCGACGTGGCACCCTCTGCAGCCCCCCGGGATCCTCAGGAGAGCAGCAGCAGCAGCGCGCAGCCACCGACGGGGCCTCGCGGCCATCATGACGCCTGGAAGGACTTTGCCATTCGCCTGGCGCTTCCAGTCCAGTCCCAGGGAGAAGGGGCGTGGGGCGGGGAGCTTGCAAGGAAGGAGGGGCCGAGAGGAAGAGGGAGGGCAGTGAACCGCCCCAAATGCAAAGGTCCGCAGGGAAAGGAGGGAGGAGAAGAGAGAAGGCGCGCGTTAAGTTTATTGGGGGACACATGTGCTTTCCTGGGCTGCAAGTTGCAGCTGCCTTCATCCGATGCACGAAGAGGGGCCCTTATCTGGCCAAAGAGACATATGGAAAGAGTTGTGGGGAGTACTAAACTGTAAGTGCAAGAGGGCCCGAGCTGCGACGTGAGCGCGCAAAGCAGCTCCTCAGCCAGGGACGAGACAAGCAAAGCCTCGCTAATGCGGCTCCAGGCGAGCTGCCGATTTGTCTTGATCAAGAGTCAGCCTTAGAACTTGTCAACGTCAATGATCAGCTTGAAGCATGAGGAAGGCTAACCTGGCGCTTACCGAGGCGTTAAATCTGTGTCGGGGCTGCAAGAGGCGACTCAAAACGACCCTCGGTTAAAAAAAGATAGGCGTGAAATCCACCTACAAAGACACCAAGGCTTCCTTGGCTTGGCCACAGTGTTTTGTGTTGTTAGATTTCTTATTTCCAGGCAGGGAGCAGCAGTCAGACTCAACAGTGTAATTCTATGCATGTTTACTCAGGGGTAAACTACTGTCATCGGTCAGGCTTACTTATTGGTGTCTTGGGCTAGGACCTGGGAGACAAATCCCTATTCAGCCATGAAGCTTGCTGGGTGACCTGGGATAAGTCACAATCTCTCAGCCTGACCTACCTCACAGGGTTGTTTTGAGGATAAAATGGAGAGGAGAATCCTGCATACCACTTTGTCCACTTTGTAGGAAAAGTGAGATATAAATGTAATACAAATAATATAAATATATTTTTTCTGATACATTAAGTTTAGAATTATTTTATTTATACCCCGCCTTCTAAATAAAAGCCCCCAGAGGAACTTAAGCATATGGAACTATATTGTGTATTGAATTGTTTACTGTTTTTGTAGGTTTCATCTATTGTGTTTGGGTATTATGCCGATGTGGATATAGATTGACATATTTTACTTTTAAAATGTTATAGTGCACTTTGAGCTCAAGTATGATATTGGAAAAGTGACGCAAGACTTTAAACCAAATCAAGGAACTGTACTCAGAGCACTGCAGAGTATTTTCCCCTTGCTGAATGCCAACGCAGGCAGGCAGCCGAGATGAGAAGGGTTTCCAGTCAAGCGTTTAAAGAAATAATTAACCTCTGATATTTATTGGTATAATTATATACTACACTAGGCTGATATATCCACTATCTTATACAATGTTTTTGGTACCAAACCATCCCTTTGCAAATAGGGATCTCTCAGAGATTGAAGAATATTTCTGCTTAGCATTTTAATGAGAATGTGACTTAATTTTTAAACAGATTGGTTTCCATCTGAAGGAGGAAATGACAATGTAGAAAGTCACAGCTTTATACTGTTTGTCACTCTTTTCAGCCTAGAAAACCAATCTTTGATGAAATGGAAGCATACTTTTGATTATTTCACAAGTGGGACCTGCAGCAAAACATTGTGCCCGATTCAGGGTTCCAAGTAGCCAGCCATGCCCCAAATCCATGGTACCCCATTCCACCTCCCCTCTTTCCCACTTTACACTTTTAACCCCCACCTTGTAACAAAATAGCAGCACTGTACGGTCACCAAGTATGCTTGGTCCTCATTTGGCTGTTGTTGGTCTCGCCTGCCCATTTTAACAGTTTTTGTTTCTGAAGACTTTTTAGTATTTCATTCAATGCTTGGAGTTTCTCAGAGCCTCTTGGAACACGGATGGTATCTTTTTTGCTAAACAAACACCCGCACTTGGATTAGGAGTCCACTATTAGTATATATAGAACCTTTAATAAAAGTCTGATGCTGAGGTCCTCTTTGCTCTATGCCCATCATCCCTGGAAGAACAGCAGCCAACCTTTTCGTGACAAATGCTTTATTCCGCTGAAAGCTATCCTCAGAAGAAGAGGAGGATATAAATAGTAGACAAAATGAATAAATAGTTGCACAGCAGGCAGGAATTCAGCAAGCACAGCCCTCCCTTCCTTTTATTGCCATCCCATTTGGAAAATCTGTCCACCGTGTAGCTGTTAAGAACACAGGGCTTGCTTAGAGGAAAAGGTGGCAACCTCAGCTGGGAGTTCAGCAGTATAAATACTGTATCAAACAAGAGCTTTATGGCAACTGATCAACAACCCCAGTCTAGTGAAGGGGAACCTGTGGCTACGACTGCCCACCATCTCTGACAGTTGGCAGAGTCTGATGGAGCCCAACAATGTCTGCAAGGCAGCATGGTTCCCCTTCCCTGACCTAGTCCAACCTCCTGTTTCTTTGTTTCCTAACAGCAGAGCTTGCTCTGAAGTTATTCATGAGTCTGAGTCACTATTCAGAAAGCACTGCAATAAGGACACAGTCTTTCGTAAAGCTTTGTAATGTAGATTATATTGGGTATTTTCATACCCCACCCCATTATTCTCCCTTGCAACATTTTATAAGAAATCATAATTCCTCACAGACATAAAAGCTCTCCTTTTTGCCACTGAATTTGTATTGTATGTGGGACATGAATATCGCAAAAGAGAGAAATAGTGCCCTAGGGGTAACATTTATTTTAAGACAGCTAATACAGTTCATTTATAAAACGTTTAGCTTACTCCAGTTTCCTAAACATACAATTAAAAATGCTACCAGAGTTTGTAGCAAACTTGCATACCAATTGCAAGAGAGATTTCTGTCCTACAACCCTGCACTGCAGACAAGTCAATGGTTTTTTTTGGTATGCAAGATACTTTCAGTTAAAGGTTTATTTGTGTTTATTCATCTCCCTCTTTCCAGGGGCTGCTTCCTTGAAAGGGACACCTTGCATTTATCTGTGCTGTTGGAAAGCATCTCACACCCTCCAAACCAAACTTCCATCTCAGAAGTACAAGTGCAGGGTTTAATTTGCTGATTAACTCTCCATCTTTTATGTTAGATCACACATTTCTGAAGGCACTCAAGCCTACAGAATTGTTCAGCTGAAACCTGTCACTTTTAATATGGGGAGGGTTAAATGCAGTTGGGTCTCCTTGCACCTTTCCTTCTCCACTATGGGAAGATGAGATTCCCCAATGGCAACAAAAGCAAACTTCCAACAGCGGAGCAGGTTTGATGATGTACCAGGCACCAGGTTTGAGAGCCCATTCTCAAAAACCCTTCCACAAGTGATGGTCTCAAGAAAAGTCCCTAGCATGGCGCTGAGGCAGCAAATGAAACCCTTAGAGCAAGGGGATGCGGGTTGGCTCCCAAAGTCGCCGGGCCAAGTCACACGCCTGCTGGATCACAAACTCAGTTGGCACAACACCCAGGTGGATGGTGAGGATTTCATAGCACTTCACCACTTCGTTCGCATGGGTCCTGCTGCAGTAACGGAGCAGCTTCCTGGAGGGGAGAGACGGTGGTCAGGAAATGGGGAAGAGGCAGGGCTGCTGGGACAAGGAGGATTCCAAACAGCTTCCCCAGCCCAGCCAGCAGAGGATGCACAGCTAAACTAGAGACAGGATGGGGAACAGCTGAAGCCCATCCATGTAATCCAAGGCAAGCTGAAGGCTTGTGTTGCTCCTCCCTGGCTTATATGGAGCTTCCAACTCCCCACCAACCTCAGCCAGCAGTACCAATGGTCAAAGGATGATGGGATTTGTAGTGCCAATATCATCCGAAGAGTCACAGGTTTTCCACCCTCAGCTTAGGAAATCCCAAAACACGGGATGATGAGGATAAATAATATTACCACCCACCCTATCCCGTCCCAGGGCAAGTAAAAACATTAAAAACAATTTAATTTAAAACAACTTACAGGCTCAGAAATAAGGCGGTTCATAAATATATACTATACTATATGCAATAGAAATTCCCATGAGATTGTAGGCAGCACTCTGTAGAATTGTATACAGGTGCCAGGATGAGGAAGAGGCTGGGTGATGGACCAAGCTGTAAAAGGATTGCCCTTCTCCAACCTGGATCTTCTGGCTGAAGTCTCCCTCCAAGCCCTTCGTGTATCCAATAGTATCTGGGGCATTGGAATCCTTGCTCACCTGTAATAGTCGCCGGCCAATGTCCCAATGGGGGCTGAATCATCTGAAAGCACCGGCACTTCCGTAACCTCCAGCCTGTAACCCTGCAGGGGCGTGGCAGCAGAAAGGAGAGATCAGGGACAGGACAGGAGCTTAGGGACCACTGCAGGCATTCTTAGGCTATGTAGAGGCAAATGTCTTCAGCCCATACTATCCACACCATAGCAGAGGACACTGTTTATGCACCATGTCAATACCCTATCCTTCCTCCTGAATGCATCATTTGTAGCCTCAAATCAGCTCTGAACAAGTTAGGATGACTGACTGCAGCTGAATGATCATTTGGTGCTGGGATTCTTACATCCAGAGTAAGCGCTCAGGACAGGGCATCACCTCGACGTCTTAGGAAGTTGCAGGAGATCTCTGCATCCCAAGCCCACCCACCCTCTCCCCCAAAGCTCCTGCACCTACCATCTCATTCTCAAACCAAAGAAAGTAGGTGCAATAGTAGTCTCCATCCCGGACTGTCACCGTGGTATAGCCCTTCTGCAAGTAGCTTCTCGCTAGCGCCACCAAGGACCACACCTGGGGAGGAAGAGACAGGGAAGACAAAGAGAAACCCGGCATCCCAAGACCTCCCTTTCTGAGCCCCGAATCACCATTTTAAAATTCTTGGTCTCCCCTCCAACTCCCATCACGTGCTCATGTTACCGGGAGACTGCCTGTCTCTTGCTGCACTGAAAACTTTGCAGGCAAGAAAGGAGCAGGAGCTGGGGCTCTTGCATAGGCTGGGGAGATTTACCTTCTGCTTGATGAAGGCAGGCAAAGGCCCCTTGCCTAGCTCTGAAGCAGAGTCCTCTGCAGCACCAAGGGATGGAGCCACCATCTGCCCCACTGTGCGGTCCACGTAGATGAAGTGCACCAGCCCTGGGAATTCCTCCAGATATGTGGATGGCAGCCAGTTAAGGGCCTGTGGCTGGGGAGAAGGCAGCTGCCCCTCTCGACTTGGGTGCCTGCCCCACTAGGATCCTCCCCACAAAAACCTCTCAAGGAACAGGAATAGGGTTCTTGACCCAAATGAGGGATGGAAATCCTTCAATATCCCACCCCCCACCTCTAGACCTTACTGTTTGTCCAAGGACAGTGTACTTTCCTGGTACAACCTGAGAACTTTTGCCAGCCTGTTCCCAACACCTGTAGAACCCAGGAAAGAACTAACCTCAACATTCACCTGTTCCAGCTCTGTGCCCAAGACACAGAAACATAGAATTGGAAGGGACTGTGAGGGTCAACTAGTCCAACCCCCTACAATACAAGAATCTTTTGCCCAAGGTGTGGCTCACACCTATGACCCTGAGATTAAGAGTCTTAGGCTCTACCAGCTGGGCTACAGGAAATGACCCAGGTGAGGGTGGGAGCTGAGTTTCTTGTCCCAAAGGTTGCTATGCAAAGTGGGGGCGGGGAGTACTCTCCCTCGACACCAAGGTCTCTTCAGCCAGGGAGGGGGGAGTACTTCACAATCACTTCTCTAGGAAGCTCTCCTCCTGCTGCTTTTGGTTGGGGATGCTCAGAAGTCCTCCAGGAGAAAAGAAGTGAACGGGACCGGAGAAAAGCATGGAAGGATATGACACTATGGTAACATTGCGCTTGCTCTTCACCAGCAGGAAATCTCTCCAGTCTTGCAGCTTGTCCCTGCCAACAAAAAGGAACCGGAAATAAGCTACAAGGGCCAAGAGCTTGGTGCACGTGTTGCCTTCCTGCCCTCGCAGCAAGTGGTGCTTGGCTTCGGAGCCAGAGTTTCCAGCCCCACCTTGGGGGGGAAAGACAGCAAGCCTTTCAATTCCCCAATGTTCCTTCCTTAGTTGGCCACTATCATGGGGAGAAGCAGGCACTAGACCCAAAAGTGCACGGGGTAAGAAGAGATGGGTATTCAGGAGAAGGGTCCAAGTAGCCTCTCAGCAGCCGCTATAAGGAGTGGAGCATGACTGGGGTGTACCAGCTTCTCCTGGACAGAACTGAATGGATATAAGAGTGGAAGAGAGCTGTGCTCAAGGGAACTTCAGGGTGACCTTCCAGCAACGTCCCTCAATGTCAGGTCTCCAAATGCTGTTGGTCTACAACTCCCATCATCCACGGCTAAGCTGGCCAAGGATGATGGGAGCTGTAGTCCAACAACAGACCAATACTGCCTTACGGGATATCCAGCATGAGGTGCAAACTCTCAAATGCGTACAAGTTCAGATATGCCACCGCCACCCTTTCCCGTGTGGTTTTGCCACTGCGCTCCATCCCACTCACCGCGTCAGCTGCTGCACCTGGTCCAGCAAGTTCTGCGGCAGGCCCTGCGTACCAGAGGATCCAAGAAAGAGCTGCCGATACACGGCACACAGCTGCCTCCGGATGCGGCAGAAGGCCTGCAGAAGCCTGCGCCAAAGAGAGATCAGTGTGCCTCTGAAGCAGTGGGGGGACTTGTTTCAGATTGAGGGCCACATTCCCTTCCCAGGGGCCACATGGCAGGAGCGATGGTGGGGCCAGAGCAACAAATGCAAAATTTACCTCTGTACAGAAATGCTAGTTTTCACACCCACCTCTGCCCCCCATCCAGGCAAGCCAGAAGCATTATCTGAATTTTGTCACCTATGAAGGGCATTCAGGATCACCCCCCATGTCCCTTTTTTGTGCGTTCACGATTATTTGTGCACATTATGCTATTGGTGTGTGTGTGTGTGTGTGTCACATGGCTTCATTTCCAATGAGCGCAGATTCCACAGATTCCTGCTGAAATCCTGCAACATTTCAAAACACAAATGTTCTGGAGTTCGGTTGCCCCCCCCCTTTTTGTTGTGCTACAGCTGCTCTGGACAGCAATAATGTGGTAGCATTAGGGAAGCATTGCAGAAGAAACTCACCACCAGTGCACTAGGACTGCTGTCAAGAACATGTTGCAGGACACGCCCACCACAGAACACCTGTCTAAAGGGAGTATTCTGCAACAGTCATGCAGAGAAAATTGCTTCTTTTAAGAAGAAAGCAGTAGGAATGGCCCCAGAGTTCAAACTGTGTTTCATTTGTACGCAGTCTCTGTCAATACATCATCTTCGTTAACCTATAGAGGTTAACGTGGTATTGTTAACATTTTCCCCAAGCTGCAAGAACTGTTAAATCCATTCAGCTGGTAACTCCATTAGTGTCCCAGGTACAAATCAATAGGTGAAAAGACCAGACTGGTCCTTTCGGCCATTTCTCCCCACTCTATTCAATCGGAATCTTTTTCTCTTCCCCTGTCCCTCCAGCTCCTTTTCCAAATGCATGCCAAATCTTCCCCCTTCAGCTACCAGCCAGGCCTCCTTTGGCCCCTGATGAAGTTTGAACTCAGCACACGGTAGTCTATTGCATGTCTGGAAGGAGGAGGAGGGTTTGAACCCAAGCCTTCTCCCTCATGCGCTCTTCACTATGTGCAGAGGAAGCTTTGCTTGATTGTGCACACACAGGGGAGCTTCAAACACACATTCGTAAGTGGTACAGTCCCAGGAGTGCTATACAATGGTTTGTTCTGTAAATTGGTTCCTATTTTTACCTCGTATTTTTTGCTCTTCCAGATTTGTCTGCAACCGTGTCTCACAGCTGTTGAAAGAGAATTGCTGCGGCATGCAAGCGCGCACACACCCCACAAATCAAAATATGACAGCAAAGGAGTCTGTTCATTGCTCAGATCCAGCAAGAGCAGGAACGTTCTCCTTTCCTCACAGCATGTCCAGCCAGCTGCTTCCTTGTCCCAGGACTGCAACACTCACAGTCCAAAGAGCCCTTAAGCCTCATAGACCTCCATTCATCCTTTTCATCACTACATTTGCATCCGTGAAGGGACCACGCATGGCTGCAGCATTGCCACCTTTCCATTTTATCCTCAGATGAGGCCAAGGTATAGTAACTGGTCCCCAGGATGCTACCCCCAAAATCCTATCCCAACCCTGTATTCTAATCTCCCTCACTTCAGCCCAGCCCGACCAGCAACTCACTCGCAGGAACTCCCAGTCTCGTTCCGAGAGAAAGCTCTGTTCTTGAATTCCAGCCAGGTATTCTGCAACTGAGAGAGAGAGAGAGAGGGATGTGCTCCTAGGTGCAGCACCATTTCATCTCTTTGCAGGGTCTGCTCTTACCCAGCAATTCTGTTGTCTTTCCTACTCCTGTAAATGGGAACTCACCCATAGCTCAGGCCTGTTCATGCCTGCCCAGCTCTGCCCCACTAGACACTACATCACTCAGCCCCTCTTAGCAGTGTGTTCTGGGAAAGGGTGCTCAACTCCAGCACCCTTGTGCCTGGGCAGCTCCTATGTAAATTGGCCAAATCTCACCTGTGGCTCTTGCCCACCCAACCTCCTGACAAAGTTGTCCATCCGATGCCGGAGTTCCACGAGGACCGGCTGAGAGCGCAGGTGAGGCCTGATCTCCTGCCCGTCTTTCAGCTTCTTCTCCAGCACCAGAAATCCATCCAGCAGCTGGTAGATGGAATGTGCCACGTGGGAACTGGGGCTCTGCGAGGCAGAGGGGACATTCAGTGAGATCCAGGCAGGCTGGGCATCATAAACACCTCTCAGGAGAGCTGGCTCACCTTAGTGAGGAGCACCAGCGAGATTCCTGGCCAGAGAGGCAGGCAGTACATCATGTGGGGCATCATGGGGCAATAGCCTTCCTTCAAGTTGGCGTCCAGGAAAATTCTCCGCGGATTGGTAGCCTCTGGCGCTGGAGGCGCCAGAAACTGCAGCGAATCCTCAGCCATCTGGGGAAAAGATTAGCATGCTGTTGTCACAGAATTGGGATCTGTCTGACCGGACATAGAGCATTCTTGGGTGAAGTTCCTCAAGGACTCAGTTTTCCACAATTTTAGGAACTAAACGGCTGCTCCTTTAACAGGAAAGTGAAGCAATAGCTCCATCTAGTGCCAATTCTAGGAAACAAGCAGAGCGACTCAATTCCACAGGCGAAGGAAGTGGGGAGGGAAAAGGAGCTCAGAGCAAAAGAGGCCTCCAGAGTCAAATTAGTCCACCCACCTCACCCCCCATCATCCTTTAAGCCAAGGCGGGACAGTGCCCCACCTAGTTTAAAGCAGGGGCGAGGAAACCTGTGGCCTTCCAGATGGATCCAAACTACAAGAAAGAAGATTCCACCTAAACATTAGGAAGAACTTCCTGACAGTAAGAGCTGTTCGACAGTGGAATTTGCTGCCAAGGAGTGTGGTGGAGTCTCCTTCTTTGGAGGTCTTTAAGCAGAGGCTTGACAACCATATGTCAGGAGTGCTCTGATGGTGTTTCCTGCTTGGCAGGGGGTTGGACTCGATGGCCCTTGTGGTCTCTTCCAACTCTATGATTCTATGATTCTATGTCCTTGGACTTCCACTCCCCATCAGCCCGTGTCAGCAGTCTGTATCCCAACATCTGAAGGGTCACAGGCTTATGGTCCTGGGTTCAAAGAACATGCAGCCTCAGAGCTCAATTCCATTCCTACTTGCCCTCAACCACCACCAGGATCCCTTCAGCTGGAAGGGGAGAGCCCCCTTCACTGTTGATGGGATCCTGGCTGAGGTAGGGAGTGGGATTAGGGACTACAGGCATGAAAAACAGGACATGCCTAGCTCCCAATCCCGGTTGGCTAACTGCTCCCATCCGCATGCTGCTGGTAATTGTGGGGCAGTATGAATGCATAGACCAGTTCCCCTGCCAGTTTTTCCCATCTGCATTTTTTGGGGGTGGGGAAGAGGGCAACTGAGGGGATGCTGTTCCAACCCTTTCCCTGCAAGGCCAGGAGATCTCTAAAGGCTCTCTTGCCCATTCTTCTCCCCTCATTTAAGCCCCAAGGTCATCCACGCACAGACACCCTGGTCTGCCAGCATAGGGAATGTTAACTTTACTACAATGTGCTTCGGTGAGCTTTATATGCAATCTTAATGACACCATGACGGTTGCATTTATGGTATGTTAATGGTTCAGGTGGTGGGGAAGGTTGTCCCAGATTTCACAGTACTGGGAAGTATAGAAAGTATAGAAACATCTAAGTATACAGAAAGAAAGCAACACCTCTATCAAGCAAACTGGGAAATGTGATCATAAGGGATCCCTAATGCCTGCTGCCCTAAAATCCTTGTGGAATGGATCCTCTTTGTCCAGCTTTCATTATCGGAGTTTCTTTGCTGCCGTTTCTCATCACATGTGGTGCTTTGCACAATTCTGAGAAAGCTGCTTCCGTTCATTTCCCCATTTGTGGGGGACATAACCACAAGCTGCAAGGCTGACGATCACAAAAAGCTATGTGGGTGGTGAAAAAAACTGATCATATGATTTGGCTACAAGAGAAGTACAGGTGGCCAAAAACAAAACAAAAAAACCCCAGACAGACCCAGAAGAGAATGTAAAGTGGAAATGGAGAGAGCAGAAAGGGAGGCCCAGCAGAAAAATCCAGAGCTGTGATCCCAAGCCCAAGCACATACCTGGATGTCAGCAGAATTCGTCTCCCCCTCACCCTGAAAGTCCACACCATCAGCCCAGGCTGTGCTTCCTTCAGGCAACAGAGAGAAGAGACACCAGATACCCCCAGCACCACAGGTGGGAACAGTTAAGGTGGCTGCCAACAGCAACTAACAAAAGACTCAGAACATCATTTTGATCCAGGTACCTCCTAGCTGGGGCAGCACCTACGCTTAACCCCATCCCTTGGCAGGCGCTATAGGAAATTGCTTTTAGAGCCACACTTGCACACCTTCTGAGTGTCAGCCAAGCAGTGGGGCAATGCCCCTTTCCAAAACAGGGAGGGGGAAATCAGATTTCCACGCAGTCACCACTCAGTCAAGCCAGCTGACGTGCAAGTCACTTTCTTTCTTTCTTTCTTTCTTTCTTTGCATTCTGACAGCTCTCCCCACATCTACAGGAGACCACAGTCGCTTCTCATACTCCTCCGCACTGACCCCAAACTCACCTGTGCTCTGTTGGCTAGGGGAAGCCTTGGGGGTGTAGAACTCCTCGGGCATAGAGAGATCATCTGCTACCTGAGGGAGGGCGTAAGGGAGGGTGTGGGAGGGAACAGACTCAGCACGAGCCCAGGATGGCTCCCTCCCCATCTGCCAAAATAGGTTCCACCATGGGATCCCAGAAGGACAATGATGGGGGTTTCACCATTCCTAGCAAATAATGAATCGCATATCATTTTCCACAGCAACATCCTAGTCTCCCCTGCTTCCCTCAGGTTTTAAAGCTAAGCCTACAACCCAACTCCTGATCAACCACAAATTCCAAGGACCCAGGGTTGGGCCTTTGGGATGGGAGGCCCAAAGCCCAGCTGATACTTACCTGTTCTTGGGAAGAGCTGTTCATTGGGATGTTTTCACTGCTATGGAGCCTCTGGAGACTTGGCTCGTCCTCTGAGAACTGAAAGAGACAGGCTTAGCCATCTTTGGACAGCTGCCAGGACTCACCCACCAATGTAGGCCATGCTCCTTCCTGCCCATTTATTAATAAAAATCTTGCCTTTGATAGTGTCCCTCTCCTCACAAGGCAGCTTAGAGTCTCATTTCTAATACTATGAAATAGCACGTTTCTAATAAAGCAGCACGAAACGTTATCATGAAAAATACTAACATTAAAATAAAATGGCAGCAAACAATTTGCAAACACTGAGCTCCATGAAATTTTACAAATCTGAAATTTTCCAGATCTGAATTGTTTCTTTAAAGAAGTGTTTGAGGACCTCCTACAAATGAACAAGGAACCTGTGCCGATCCATTGTATTATTTCCCACAATGCTCTGGACTCAGTGTCAGACCAGAACATTATGGGAAATTAAAGCGGTGGTTAAGAGGCCTATTGAGGCCTTCCTTCAAGGAGCTCAAAGTGGCATATAAGAAACTGGACCAAATTCATTTAGTGGGAATTTGGACTGGGCCTCTGTGGTCTCTAATGATTAATCCACAATGATTCTCTGTGACATTTAGCTGTTCAGGCATCTAGACAGACTTCACACAGCGCAACAGCTCTTAATGAATGCTGCTTTGTTTGATATGATTTATTTATTTTAAAGTTATTGTGACTTTTATATTGGAACAGATTAATTAATGTTTGATGTTTTATTATGTTTTTGTGTTGGAAGCCGCCCAGAGTAGCTGGGGCAACCCAGCCAGATGGGTGGGGTATAAATGCAAATATTACTACTATTACTATTAATCCAGGGTACCCATCCCAGCTCCTGTTTAGATTTAATTAATTTTCATTTAAATATTTTAAGCTTGCCACTTAGGTCATAGCCCTCCCAAGGTGGCTTACACACCAAATATAATATACATTTTTAAAAAACCCATCCAAATGCAAAATCTAGTTACAGTAGCCTGATAAAGCATAGGTCAATACACCCCTCGAAATGCATAAAACACAATTTAAACCTTTTACCAAAGCCTGTAGCCACATCCTAAAAATTCTGCATGTATTGCAGAGGCAAGTGCAATTCACTTGGAAGACAGCTCTGTGACAGTAAAGTACCACCAAGCTCCCAGAATCTCACTTACGCCCAACTCCACACAGCTCAGTCCAGCTCAAGGTCATTGTCTGAGAAAATCCCAAAGAGGAATCTCCACAAACACAGAGCCCCTTGTTATGAATGTGTCTCCTTCCCCACCTGGGCAGGTACCTGGGAGGCTGGCAGCTCCTCAGAAGCGCTGCTGGGATACAGATCTTGCACAATCAGGAGGAGCGTGAGCAAGTCAGCAGGCCGCAGAGAGCTGGCATTCCGGCTAGGAGGCAGGTAAAAGAGAAGAGGTGAAGACACGGCCATCTGTTAGGGGAGCCACATATCGGAAGGTGGGAGGTATCCTTCTAGAGACAACCAGAGGCCCAGGGTGGCCTGGCTGGCACTGAAGCAGAGGTGCGGGGTGCCAAAGGAGGCAACGGGCACAGTGGAAGATGCTGGGCTGGCATGAGCAGGACGTGCCTCAGGGGAGGATGAGGAGACTGCAGAGAGGAAGTGGGGGTTTACCTGGAGTAAAAGGCAAGGAGCTTGGTGTGCACAAGCAGGAAGGCATGCACAACTTCGTGCCCAGCACGCTCTGGGCTGCCATTGATGTGCTGCACGACCTGGCGCTCCAGGAATTCAATGCACTGCTCACACAGCTGAGGGTGGATCAGTCGCTCCACGGCCTAAAGAGGGTGGCGCAGAGGAACAGGTTTGCAGCACAAGGTCTTCCCTTCCAGCCCTGGGGTGTATGGTCCCTTACGCAGAGCCCAGGCAGCAATTATCGTGAGGCACACAACATGAAAAGCCCACTTCCCCAGCTCCATCAGTCTACGCAGATTAAGGACATGCATTACCTGCTACCCACTTCAGGGGTAGGGAACCCAGGCCTGGGAGGCCCTTTATCTGGCCTCCAGGACTCTTCCAAAAGCACACCCCTCCTCATCCTGGGCTTCTTAGGGAGGAAGGGTGGGATAGAGATCAAAAATTCAATTTAATACTGATAATGCATCTTGCTTCCCTGGATGCAGAGGTGTTGAGGGTGTGTGTTGTAGCCTCTGGTTTTTGCATGCCTGGAATGTAGCCTAGTAGACAATGGTAAGAGACACAGCCATTGCTCGATGTTCTTTTGCTTCTGGCTCAATGTTTGTGTGTTGGAAAAGGTGCCTCATCCCTGTTCTAGGGAGCAACACACACGTATCCTGGCTTGCTCCATCCATCCTAGGCTGCCCAGTAGAACAACTGCATCCCTGGCTTCATTCCAACCACCACTTTTCGACTGCCCCAGTCCACTTTACCTCCACAGCAAAGCTTTGGTCATCCTGGCGGAGCTGGTGATGGGTCTGAAGGAGGCTCTGGAACAGTCCCCAAATGTGAGCCCGCTGCTCAGAATCCCCTGGGCGCAGCCTACAAAGCAAGAACCCACAAAATCAGTGGAGGCCAGGGCAGAGACAGAAATCCTCAAACTTACAGATTGTGTTAAAATCATTTAATGTTACATAAAATGGTGCATAATTGTCCTATTGTATTCAAGTTACTGTGAAGAATGAACACACAGCTGAAGGTTTGTATTTTTCCACTGCAAAAATGGGGTGAGTTCAGTTTTATGTTTTTTGGGGACAAAGTCTCAAAGTGTTTACTTATGAAGTAGCCCACACACAGCACGAGTAGTTTTTCAAGCCCACACAGATCTCCCTGAACATCAATCAAAATGCAGCAAGCTGGAAAACAGAGAGGATTCTTTTTTTTGGCAAAGATTGAGCCTTATGCTGCGACCAGTGTATGTAATACTAGAAATGTATAACTGAGACAATGTATCTTTTATTGCTTTTGTAAAGTTTAAAGAAGGTTTCTGCAAATAAGGCTTTAAAACTTATGCGGAGAATTTATTTCTACAGAGTCAAATCAAAGATAACTTCTTCGGGCTACATTCATAATCTTCAGATTGCACCCAGGGCAAAGTCAGCTACCTGCCTGTGGAGCAGAGAGGCCATACAATTCATCTCTCCTTGGTCTTATCTCACCTGTGTAACCATCCCCAGACATAGGCATTGTTGCACTCAAACCCCCAAACAGATCCTACTTTGCTGCAAATTATAGGGAAGGCAGGCTGTGCTGCCTCAGGCTCTTTTCATGTGCATATAAACCATAATTTGCACTATGGTGACAGCCCATGCAGCTACTGCTCAGTGTTCCAAGAATACTGCTCTCACATGGGCAAGGTTGTCGCGTTAAGGCTTCCCTTTCCTTCATGCACCAGGAGGTTATGTGCCCAGGAAGTATGACACTTCCATACAAACTAGTCTCACATGTGCCAGCTGTGTGGAACAGCACCAAGGAGAAGCTGCTTTCCTGTGGCTCAGCACACTGGGACTTTAGTGTTACAGGGGCCTGAGAAGACCACATGGAAAGCAGGTCCCATATGCTGTGAACAAAACATCCCATCCAGGGATGGAGGAAAACAAGCTCATCACAATAAAGGAAGCAAGGAAGCAAGGAAATCCCCGCTTTGGCACGGTAACTCACTCTCTGCGGAAGAGGTGGCTGTCGAGCGTGACTAGTCCAAAGTGAGCTTCAGCCAGTCTCCTGAGCACGTACAGCTTACGGCGCAAGTCATCCTCACTCTCGGAGCCATCGCCGTTCACAGCAATGTACAGGCACTCACCAAACTGTAGAAGCAGCAAGGGGATTGCTATCTCAGTCATTACAAGGAAGATGAACACAGATGTAAAATGATCATGGAAATATCTAAAGTCCCCTTTGGTGTTCGTTTAAATAAAACAGATCTGCGCAATGTCATATTGTTCGGGTGCGATGCCTGATTATTGTCTTCCAAAACAACTACTCTATTCTGAGCTGAAAAATGGAAAGCGCAATGCTGGTTGTCAACAAAAGAGGTTTAACGACTCAAGGCAAATCTTAAAAAAATGTAGTATAAACAGCAACAACTGGGAAACACTGGCCTGAGAGCACTCCAAATGGAGAACAGCTTTTACCAAAGGTGTCATGGACTTGGAAGACACTCAAACTCAGGAAAAAAAGGGAGAAATTCACTAAGAGGAAGGCACGCTTGGCAAACCCTCACTGTATCAGCTCCCATCCAGAAACCTATGTCCCCACTGTGGAAGGATGTGTGGATCCAGAACTGGCCTCCACAGCCACTTACGGACTCACTGTTAAAGACAGTGTTCATGGAAGACAATCTTACTCAGCTATGAGTGATCGCCAAAGAAGACAACCTACCTGTGACTGCAGGAACAAAGAAAAGGTGCTTGGATGACACCCACCCACCCCAATTTAAATAATATGGGAGGCCTCATGTAGCTGCATTGGCTAGCCTCCACCCTCCACTGCTAATGAATGTCTCAAGGTGACTTAGTCTGTCCACTAAATTCCCATCAACGTCTATACATTTCTAAGCACGTGGCCCATTCGGTTACCATATGTAACACATAGAGGTGTTCGTCATTTTCAGAGGAGAAGCAAGTGTATGTGTCCCCTAGTTTCTCTAGCAGTGTTGTGCAGGAGATGATCATGGGGGCAAACAATGTGTTGATGCTGTCTTCCAGAGCGGGGGCCTGTGGAAAGAAAAAGAGGGAAAAGCAGCCGTCACTGTGCCCTGCCAAGTCCCGCCACATCCCATGCGCATATGCATGGACACCCATGGACAGGCCATAACCCAGTTGCCTCCCAGCTACATATCTATATATCATATCCATTAGCTATCTAAGAACTTGGGTTTTCTGGGCAGTGTACTGTTGAAAACAATTAAAACATAGCATTCATTTTTAAAATAAAAAAAGGAAATACGAAAGCAAAACCAGAACAGGGAAAAATAACCTGATCCTGTTCAGACAAGCCCCAAAGCTTTTATAAGCATACACACTTCCACCTCCAGTACACTTTCCCCCATCACTCCAGGAACTTTGCAGAACATCTTTCTCAAGCGCTGAACGCAATGCCAGCAATGTCATTTTTGCCCTGCATCCATTTACTCTGGTCTGTTTCCCTCCATCCCTTTAAATCTCACCTCACCACCACCTTGATCATGGCCCCCAAAGCGCTGGTGCAGAATCGCCATGAATTCTGGGTCAGCCCAGTAGAACAGGACCTCTGCCACCTCACTAGTAATCAGCACACACTTCATCTGCAAATAAATATATGTATTAATGCATCACCTAGGCCCCTGGTACAAGGCCCCTCCTTAGCTTCCTGGTCCAAATGTCAACCCAAGCTGGTATTCAACTAAATAATTGCACTGGCACAAAGATTAACACTAGCACAATGGGATTCCCCACCCTGTCCCCAGACCTGCTCTAGAGGACTAGAGGGAACACCAGAACAAATTTAGAGTTAACAGAGGGAGGAGAGTCCATTTTGCTCAGCTCAGTCCTATGATGCATTTTCAGTATGCATGTGAATCCGTCCTACAAAATTCTGACAGTCTGGAGGTGACCTTTTTGGAAAGTGGGGGAAGGAGGCAGATGAGGAACACAACATAGGCTTGCAAGCTCCTTTGTAAAAGCTGAGGGTTATCACTGCACAGGAGACACTGGAACCATTCCCCACACCAGAGAAATACATGTCCTGGTTTCCTTGCCTTTGACAAACACTCCTTGTCCCCCCCTGACAATAGATGAGCTTGGAGGCTTAATTTCCAATAGCGTGCATCTCCCCTACTGCTCACAAACCCACAGGCATCCTTGTGCTATTGGGCAATTGGAACAACTGTGTTTGTATTTAATTGTCTGCAAGTATGAAATGGTAGAATTTTCTTCCCTATTTTGTATTGCATAAATTAAAGATAAATATAAAAGGGACAAGATGACCATCCAAAAGCACTGAACCAACTTTTTTTGGCATCCATTTGTCTCCAGAGACAATGGAGGAGTGTGCCTTTGGGGGCAGAGTCAAACCATTGGAGAGTTACAGCGCCTGTTGTGGCTGTAAAATCCCATACAGTAGAGACATGTTTTGTTGCAGATGGGGTGGACTGCAAGCTGAGTAAAATGCAGCGTGTAAAACAAGGGCTGCTCTTACTTTGGACGGAAAACTGGGTTACTTTAGTAGCGGGGCGGCGTAAAAGAAAGGAAGCTCTCTTAAGTAATCGTCGTGGGCTACCCGGGCCTGATCCAAGGCTCCCTTCCCAAGGGCCAGGTGCAACGAAACGAAACCATTTTCCGCCCAAACTTGGGGTAGAAAGAGGAAATTCAGGCAGGTCCACTGTTCGCTGCAGGAAATGGAAGCGGGAGCAAGCGAGGGGGAGGAAGCCCCGTTGGCTGCGAAGTGCCAAGATCCCACGGAGATCGCCCTCCCCGCCCCCCACGGAAGGCGAGGGGGCGCCTCCGGGCCCGCGCCGACAGTCCTACCTTCCCCGCTCCAGAGACCCCCTTGCAGGCAAGTCGCCGGCGAGCAAGGCGGTTCCCCGGAATCAGACGCAGCCGGCGGGAACCGCGCAGGCTGCTGGGCGATCCTGTCCCGAAGGGGCTCCACGAAAGCAGCCCCGAGGAAAAGCGCGCGTGACTCCGTCCCGGGGAAACATGTCAGCAGCCGCGGCGACTCCGCCCGGGACGGGGCGGGGCCAGGAGCTCCTCCTCCTCTTCCTCCTCCTCCGGGACTGAGTCGAGGCGCCTGGCGAGGCTGCCTTGGAACTTGCTGTCGCCTCACCTGGCGCAGGGGGCGGAGAGGCGCAAACTCAGCCGGAACTAAACTTCTGCGAAGATCTTGGGCGTCGGCTGCGCCCGCTCAGCCAACCACGTCCTTTGAAATGGGGCGGGGCGAAGGCAGGATTGCCTTGCAGCGATTGGGCGCAGAGGGAGAGGGAGGCAGGTTGTGCACCTGGGCGCGCCCCGCCCCTGGAAAGGCAAGGCAGGGCTTTCCCGTGCTCTAGGTTCGCTGATTTCTTTGGGGGAGCAGCTCCCTAGGTTCGTGCACTGCCAGGCTGTTTTGCACCCCAGGCAAGGCCCTAGTTAATAACTCCGCCCTCCAAAATTTGCTAAGTTCAAATTTTCAAAAAACAGGTTTATCGTAGGAACGGTAAGATTCTTCAAAATATAAAATAAAAGTAAAATATTATCAAAACTTTATAAGATATAACAAAAACTGAGGTCTGCGCCCCAGAAGGCTGCCTAGTTGGCCTAACGGTAGCACTGGTACTGTGGCTTCACTGGTGGCAAGCAGCTACAAGGCGCTACTTCCCATTGCAGATCCTGCGCTGTATACCCTTCTCAGCGCTGCTTAGGGTTCTCAGGAAACTCCTCAGCCTCCCCCCCCACCTGTGACTTTCCAGATGTTGTTGGACTAAAACGCCCATCATCTCTGACCACTGGGCATGCTGGCTGCGACTGATGGAAGAGGGGCTCCAGCAAGATGTTGAGGACAACAGCACCCCCCCATTACTGCCTTACACTCTCTGGGTGACCTCATCAAGAAGCAGTGTGGCCTAGTGGCTAGAGGTTCAGGCTAGGACCAAATTCAAACACCCACAGAACTCACTAGGTGATCTTGAGGTAAGGAGATGCTGCTTCATGCAAGTGTTGACCCACACTTTCCTTATCGCGAGAAGTCAGATCTTTTGGGAAGTGGCTTTGTTGTGCAAGGGCTCCAAATCAATTTTAATTGGGCAGCCTTGATTTGCTGGCATGTGGTTGAATCCCACCTGGAAATAGCAAAGGTCTGGAAGCAACCTCAGTGTAACCTGCCTCACAGGGTTGTTATGAGGACAAAATAGGAGAACCAGGCCCACCATCTTGAGTTCCTCAGAGGAAAGGAGGAGGTATAAATGTAAAAATAGTGCATCAAATTTTATGGGATTTCAGTACCATCTATACAATAATGATATCCAGCTTCACCTCAGAACGTTGTGTCTCCATCCAGTCCTATATCTACAGCTGCTTGTCTGATAGTGCGATGTTTTATTGCTGTCTCAGTCTCAGCATAGTCAAGGCTAGACTTCTTATCTTTCCCCCCACAAGCCTTCCTCTCCTAGTACATACTCCATCTCCACTGACACCACCATCCATCCTCTTGATCAGGGACAGACAGCCTTGCCTTTATCTTTGATTCCTCTGTCTCCCTTCCAGGCAAGTCATGGTGGTGGAATCCTATGGAATCTCTTCCCAAGAGGGGTAATACAGCTGACTCCCATTACTTCTGGTTTTAAAGAGAACTTCAAAGTAGTTTGTGTTTTCTCTCACTTTTAACTGAAATGCTTTATTATATGTACCATTGCCAGATTTTATCGAAGTTTTCTAGGCTTGGTTGTGTTTTAAACTGTGTTTCATGGTAGCTGGCCTATTTTCAACTATCTGTTTTATTGTAATTGGTAATATCAGCCCTCTCCTGCTTCCTTAAATGGCTTCTTTTTCTCCCTTGGTGCCTGTCATGTCTGGCACCTCTCCTTCTCTGACTGCCATATGGTGGACTTCTTTCAGGTCTTCCATAAAGTCGTATCTCAAAATGTATATTTATTGTGAAGACTTTGGCATAACAGCAAAGTTCTCTTCCACCAATGAAACGAAGCAAAAATATACACATTGCAATAACAGTGAATGCATATTGTTATGAGTTTGGGGTGTTAAGATGTGTGCCAGACCCCTCTGATCCCTGGATCCAGCAAGTGTTAGAATTTAATCAAGGCTTCTAATTGGTGGAATAGCCAAGCTAGCTTCCTGGTGAAGTGATAGCCTGGGTGATAAACCATTAAGGGGCTCGGTGTGAGATGGCAAATGAGTCTCACCAGAAAAAAAGCCAGAGTTTGGAGCAGAGGTAGGATTAATGTGACCTAGAAGTAAAGCAGCAAGCTGGAGAGAGGGTCAGAGAGCAATGTTTGACATCTGTTTGAATCCAGGGCTGTGACTATGGGAGAAACAATACACTTTGGGGTATTAATGCTGTTAACCCCTCTATCACAGGCTGAGGTTGTATATATGCATTAATAAACCACATATCCTAAAGACACTATAGTCTCTGCTGTGCCTCACTCCAAAAGGAAACACTAACCCTGGGTAGGTGCCTGAAACCCCTGGAATCTCACACTGCTCAGAGATTGGGGTGGCCTACAACAATATGGTTCCCATTTACTCTCTGCACCATCAGATAAAAGCAATCAGACAGAAATAGCTAGGTACTTATTACAAGACTGGGACGTGGGTGGCGCTGTGGTCTAAACCACTGAGCCTAGGGCTTACCGATCGGAAGGTCGGAGGTTCGAATCCCCGTGACGGGGTGAGCTCCCATTGCTCGGTCCCAGCTTCTGCCCACCTAGCAGTTCGAAAGCACGTCAAAGTGCAAGTGGGAAGGTAAACAGTGTTTCTGTGCGCTGGTAGCAGTTTAGTCATGCTGGCCACATGACCCAGAAAAACTGTCTGCAGACAAACGTCAGCTCCCTTGGCCAGTAAAGCGAGATGAGCGCTGCAACCCCAGAGTCGTTCGCGACTGGACTTAACTCTCAGGGGTCCTTTACCTTTTTACCATTACAAGACTATTACAATACTGAGAAGAGTGGCCATCTCTTTTAGAAGCATTAGCCAAGACACAAGCTATCTTTTACCAGCTATATTTGAAACAGCTTGGTTGTCATCATTAGTTCTATTTTATTTTTATATGTTTCATTACGGCCAATAGTTAACTACAAATCAAAATTTGAAACTAACGTGATAGAAACTTAAATCTAGGCAACTAATCGGCTGGGGTGGAGTTAAGCCAGCACTTAAAATGGCACTCTTACCACCAAGTTTTAATTGAGTTGCTTTGTACTAATTATGATTTTTTAAAATTGTTTATCACATTGGTTGTATTATATTGACATCCCCTCTCTCAGGTTATTGTTTTACACTGTGATGGCTTATGACATTTGTTGTATTTATTTCCCTTTGTTTTATCCTAGATTGTGATGACCTCCTATTGTTTTAAAAATAATTTGAATCAATCGATTGGAATATTTTCATTTGACAAAAGTTGAGCCCAAGTGGAAAGAATGTGTTTTGCAAGGGGAGCGATCGAAGGTGGCCTGAGATGGGCACTCTGTGTCTTTGGGGAAACAAATTAGAGATTTCCCTTGGGTTCCAACTGTGGACTATTTAAGGGCATTGCTATGACATCCAATACTTGTCTAAACAAAGACATAAAGGCTATTTTTTCCTGGCATTGCTCTCTTGCTTATTCAGTTCTATATTGAGATAAACCAAGTGATTCCCATAAGGGTCCACACACTGTGCTAAGATATGGGTCTTGCACAAGCAACAGCAGAATTGCAGAAGGGGGCTGATAATGGATTTTCCAAAAGGGCTGTTCCGACTAGTAATAAATTTCTCAGTTGCTGTTTTTACAGTAATTGAACACAAAGTGTTGTATGGCTATCAAGTGGGCACAGAGCTGCAGGGAGGCAGTAACCCTGTTTATGGTTTCAAAGGGCTCTGGATCAAGGGCAGACATTGCTGCCATTTCTCAAATTCTGCAGTAGAAGCCAAGCAAGTAAAGACCTGAGGAAGAGCCCATTTTGCGGGTTGGAGCAAGTCACGACAGAGAGTTGCATGAGCCTCTCTAAATAAAGGGCTGAGATGGGTGGATACCAAGGTAATGTGCCCAAAGGCTGCTTACTGGACACCATGATGTGAATCACAGGAAAAATCCTACAGCTTGCTCAGATTACTATGCCTGCATTCTAGGAATCAAATACAGTCGTACCTTGGAAGTTGAATGGAATCCGTTCCAGAAGTCCATTCAACTTCCAAAACGTTTGGAAACCCAACTGCGGCTTCTGATTGGCTGCAGGAACGTTTGGCTTCCAAAAATAGTTCGCACACTGGAACAGTCACTTCCAGGTATGCGGCGTTCGGAAGCCAAAACGTTCAAGAACTAAGCTGTTCGAAAACCACAGTACGACTGTACAAGCCAGAACAGGGGACTGTTTCATTTTGCAGTGCAAGGGTTCCATTTCTACCCCATCCCACTTGATTTAAATCAGTTGGGTACTTTCTGCTCAATGAACAAGTGTTGCGGGGTTGTTTAACTGGACATGGAGTGTCTCTAGGCATGAGCATTTCCCTAATTCTTATTGTACAGACAGAGATTGGCATGCTTGCTCATGAGAGGACAAGCTGAAGCTCATTCTTAGTGACTCACAGCATAAAATGGAACAGAATATAATGTGAAGACTGACACCTGTGAGCAAATGTGGACATCCTGCCCAAATCTCAAAATGCTGCCTTCTTGGGTTGCCAAGATATGACCTTGTGGTTCTTTCCAACTTTACAATTCTATGATCTAGGAGGCAGCGCCTCCACCTTTAAATACTCTGAGTTGCTATGCTAAACACAGTTGCTAATGTCATCTGAAGTGGCAAGACTACCTATGCTGTCTGTACACACAAGTGGGCACATTTTCAAACTAGTGTGCAACAATGTTCTCTGTTTCCCTTTCCTCAAGTAGTGCTTCTACAGAAGTTTTTTTTTTAAAGAAAAAACAAATCATAGTCATATGAGGGAGGGGGTGCTGCAAACTGTGTCGTTATACAGAGAATATATATTGATATACCAAGGCAGCTAAGTTATTGTCCTACTTCCTATTTTGCCTAATTCATCCACAGACAAGTTAAACATGGTGAGGGGGAGCGGCACAGCCCTGCAATGTCAGTAGGTCTACCTCACTAGGATGTGATCAGATAAAGCGCTCTCTGTATCCACATATGTGCAGCAATCACTTGAGAAGTGCGTTCTTGGCACCAAATGGATTATAACCATTCCATCAGAACTCGCTTTAGATGGACAAATCGTGTGACTCTGGGGCAGCATGAGGATGCTGCTGTGTGTACAGCACTCCCAAAACGGTGCCTGCATCCATCACTGAATGCACATTATCATACAGTGTGTTCATTCCCTGCAACTCCTACCAGTCAGCATGGCTGGCTGACTGGGGCTGATGGGAGTTGTAGTCCAGAACAACTGAAGGGCACCAGGGTGGCAAAGGTTCTGTGAGTGTAACAGGTTTGATCCCTAGGTTGGATCCAGGGGTGTGGATGGTGCTGGTCTCAAGAAAACAGAGGCAGGGGTGCTGATAAGAGAATCTGGTTGCCATCTGGTCCTAAGTGTGACACCTGGCTGCATGCAAATACCAACCGCAAAGAGTAGATCGACCCTAATCCAGGCTCAAGCATGCTCAGATACGGATATTATACCAACTTTCAAGTGGCTGTGTTTATGAATGGTGATTTCCCCCAACCTTGCACCCCAGTATTCAAATATCTGAAAATCCCCCAGAAGGTCCAACAGAGACCCTTGTCCCCAGCTCTGTTCCAAGGATCTTTTAGAGTTCTTCAGAAAATATAATTTAATAATTAACATTTACAGCAAATGCTCCCAGAAGGCAGCATAATTTGACAGTAGCCAAGACCAAACCTCTTCTTCCCCCACCCCACAATGCCACAGGACTCAAAACAGCTGCAGACACCCCAGTGGCTCGTCTTATCCGGATGGACATATGCTGCGCATCTTTCCCCTGCAGCCCAATTGGCTGCTTATTTCTGTAAGAGGCTCTTCTGGCTCCTGCATGCGCACATGCCTCGTAGCGCCATGTGCAACTGCCTCTGTTTGCATAGACAGGGTGCTCCATCCCACTCCCGACAGCTGCATAGCTTGTTCTACTGCCAGTTGCCAGCAGAGGGAGCAGCTCCCAAAGGAATAAAGCTGAAGAGGCCCAGGATGATTCTGAGGCTTTTCCTGTTGATCAGTTCTGCATCCTGCCCTTGCCTATGTTCAGCAAATAAAGCTGGGGCTCCTATCTCAATCAGAGCCTTTCCGCCTGCCCACAAGGTGGCACAATGTCTCCACTATATGATCATCATCTCTGCACAGGGTTTAAGACGTTTCCCAGGCTGTCAAGGGCAGGATGCTCTGGGCAGCTTCCCTGGATCTGTCATTTTGCAGAAGGTTCAAGTTTCTGTGCTCCTCCGAGTTTCTGAAGCAGCAACTCAGTGCTTCATCCTTCAGTGGGACAGCTTGCTGGGCAATTCCTCTTGACTCTGGCTTAATGTTTTTTCCATAAGAGGGGGATCTGACTTTGAAAGCCCCCCTCCTTTCTCTCCCAATTCATCATGGAGGAGCCACTGCATATGGTGGTGTTGACATCATAACCACACGCCATCCACAGATGCCCAGTGCTTGCGGGCACCCATAGCGATTCTTCAGTCTCCTTTCCCTGTGCTATCTGCCTAGTCTACCCGAGGAGGAAGCCCTTGGCAGCAGATGCCCCCACCCCGAGGCCTAGCAGGTCTGTCCTTGGCAGTGGGGTGGGTGGAGCTACCGGTATCGGCAGGCCAGGGCATTAACGTTCTTCACCACATAGAAGCTCATCGTGAGCGGTGGGATGACCAGGGTCCGGCCAGGGCGGAGGGGGCGAGGCTTCAGCGTGGGCAGAGTCCCGTCGTCCACCATGGTGAGCGGCTGCCCATTAAGCTGCACTGACCTGCACACACAGAGCAAATGCATGAGAAAACCACCTTAGGGAAGCACAAGGGAAAGGCTGGTCCTAGACACAAAGGGATCATGGCCCAGCTTTGAGATGGCCACAGGTGTCTTTTGTGGCTAGGAGGAAAGATGCAGGAGAACTGATATTCAAGAGGGTGGCCACACCAGCTTCGCACCTCTAGGAGTTGAAGGGGCCTGGACTCTGAGGACAATGTCATGTGAAGGTCCAGGGCTGGCTGGGGCACATGGGAGTGGTAAGACTCATTCCATACTAGCAGGCAACACTTTCCCACTGGACATCAGTGCACGAACTATGCAGCTATAATAGTAGCAAATATGCTAGTGGGCAAGTTAAATGAAGTTCTAGACCATCAGAGCTGAGAATCTTCCTGGGGGGTGACAATAACATTGTGCTCTCTTTGCTGCTTTGCAGTATACCTCCCCCAATTAACACAGTCAGACGCTTAAAGATATGTGCACCAGCACAGCGTACTGTATATGTCGTTTCATTTTAGGTGCCTGTTGCTTCATTGACCTGATTGATTATAAGGCAAATACAGTAAACAAATGGAGAGTGTGTAGCAATTTACAAATTAGTCCTGTTACAGGGCATAAGGTCTGGTCAGTCATGGGAGGATTGTTGGGGAAAAGGATCTGCTTGGTACTTCAGTGGTAATGTAAAGTTGAATGACATTAGAGAAGCTAAATTAGCCTGTTGCAGGAAAAGACCGTGAAAGGGGGAACGCTTCGTTACCTTACAGGCTAACAGATTTTATGTGGGATCAACTGTTGGTCAGCTGAAAGATGGGATTTACAATTTACATTGAATTTAGGCAGGCTCAGCATCTTGTAAAGGTGGTGCATGTACTGAATGGGGAATTGATGGGGAGCATCAGAAGCCTGATACCTGCATCAGTAGCTTCCCTTCTCCCCCCCCCCCCCCGCCAAGGCACTGAACTCTAGCAGCAGTGGTCTTTCTTGTCAACCGGGAGAGGCTGGATTCTAATACCACTTTTCAATGCCTACCAGGATGATAGTGCTCACCTAGAATGTAGCCCTTCCTGCCCATAGGGCTGCAGCACATACTGGTGGACAAGCTTGTCCCGAAGAGTTCCCACCAGCTTGATTTTCTTCCGGGACCGGTGCAGGTTGATGATGTAAAGTGTGATAGAGCCGCGGACGTAGTTGTGGCTGTGTGAGATAGAGACAAGGTGGCTTAGGGTCAGTCGTGTGCACACTTCCCTAGATACCTCCCTGTTAGTATCAAGGTTGAGGACTTCCCTTATTGCTCCACAGATCCCAAGATAAAATCACTCCAGTCAAAGGAACTGGAGGATGGGGCCATATTATGCAGAAGCAGCTGACTTTTTTGTCTAGCTGAAATGCATGACAGTATGAAATGTTTCCTGCCCTTCCAATTCAGGAAGTTGCCCTGTCACATTACTTTCCTTTTCTCTCTCCTTTGCAAAGAAAAGTTTGGCAAGAGAATGGCCCCGACATATCCTGCAATAGCTGGCCAGTGTGATGATGTGGATGCAACGCACAGCTCCTCTGAACTCCTCAGCACACACAGAGCCCTATTTCTCCAGTAAGGTGGAGCTATTAAAATGTCTTGGCCAAGCGATCTAGCCTGGGTGAAGACAGGGCACAAAATGGAACTGTTGCAACCCATGATTTTAAGTAACTGCAAGGTGATGTTACCTAGGGATGGATTCTTCAGTGTAGTTCCAATCTGGTAAGATAAAGGATCGAGGACAGTGCTATGTACATGGCATTTTCTGGTCCAGAGTGCATAGGCTGATTGGGTGATGGAAGGAGGGGTCTGCTTTGCAGCAGGGAGCTGGACTAGACAGCCTTTCAAGTCCACTGCTCTTTGATATAGCCATGGGGGCAGCTACTTCAGCCTGTGAAAGGGTGGGTGTGTAACAAACTGGCTGCTCTAGCATTTCTAACCAATGGGATGGTCAAGTGGGCTCTAGAGTCATTAGTGTGTGTTTTGCAGCCAACATGCATGACAAGAGGCACTTGCAGTTTTAAGCAAATCCCTCTGAATCAGCCACAATTTGCAGCTGGCCCTGAGAAGCGCCACCAGCATTAAGACTGTCAAAGCAGGTCAATTTACAGGGCAGAAGGAAACTACATTGCTAAAGGAAGCTCCCACCTTTTGGAATGTTTGAAAAATGGTGGAAAGGTTAAGAGCATGAGATGGGAATCCCCAGCTGAAACCTCCCCTCAGCTGCATGAATTTACTATGTGGCCTTAGGCAAATCACTTATCTTCTCAGCCTCGGACCCCATCAGTAATAAGGGGACAATAATACAATTCTGTTGCAGGATCTTTGTAAAGATAACATGAGGCACTCAGAGCTTTATAAATATTATTTTCTCAGTCCATATTTCTAGAGTAAAGCTCTTTACAGTACTCATGCTTCTGCAGCGAGCTTAGCCAGAAATGCCCCAAACAGAAGACACAGAGAGTGAATAGCAGTCTCTCTTCCAAATGCCCAGGGCATGGGATGACCTGCCCACCTGTGCCCGCTCCTGCTGCCTTTCCTTTCCCACCTGTCCCTATCCCAGTTGCCAGTTACCTGTCAGTCACTGGCCAAGACTCCCTCCTGGAGGGGGAAGCTTGTTGAAAGCTTCTGCCCGAAATGAGGAAGCAACAATGGGGACCTGTGTGCACACAGGGGACTCCCAGGCCCTGCGCTCGGAGGAGGATGCTTTGAAAAGGCTTATCACAGAAACCCTAGCTAGCTGGGTGCCCCAAGTGAGGGGAGTGGAGGGGGGCGAGGAACTGAAACCAGACCCCCGGGGCCTTTGGAGGAAAATGCACTCTCCTGATCTCATCCTGATAAAAGTTGGGCTGCAAAGGCGCTCACCCTAGTCCCAGAGATAGCTGCTCTTCCCTATCATCACCAGAGCCATTCCCCACCCACCCCAGCTACAACCAGAGCAAGTAAGGATGCAGATATGCGCACAGGGATTGCGGGGGCAGCAGGGGGAAGAGAAGCAGGTTCTTAAATCCTGGTCCCCAAACAATCGTTATAACCTCCTTGCAGCAGGAGGAGAACTTAAACCCTTTTTGGGGGGGGCGGACAAAAGGTGAGTTATAGACAAGAGCTACTCCCTTGCTGTATTAATTGTCCCTGGGACACCAAGTGTCAGTAAGAGACCTGCTCTTTGGCAGGGACAGGCTCATAGCTGCTCAGAAGGATGGAGCAGGAAGGTATCGCTATCATTTAATAGCTTTTGGCTGCGAACGCACCTCTTTACCCTGGGTTTTGACACTAGAGATGTATACGTTTTGGGACCCACTGTTGTTTCCGAGATGTTGTTTTGAATTGTTTTTAATGTTGTGTTTTTATTGTTGTAACCTGCCCTGCGACCTCAGGCAAAAGGGATGACAGTACCAAATCCTCCTCCTCCTCCTCCATGCCAAGTGACATTTTCGTCTGAGGGTGTGGCCCATGCTGAGTTAACCCTCTTGGGTCTTCCAGTCACCAGTGCCCCAGCCCCTACCTCTGTTCCAAGAAGCTGTGCTTGCGGCATGTGGCAACTCACTTGTGGTAGCTGGTGCAATGAGCGTAGATGCGCAGTTTATCACGGATCACCCTGCCAAGGCGAGGTTTCCTCTGCAGCCCAGCCACATGCACAGAGAGCACCCTGGGCCCGACAAGTCGCTTGTAGAGCAGGGAGAGCCAGTAATCCTGCCCCACAGAAAAAGAAAAACATAAAAGCAGGCGAGCCATTACACCACATTCAATACAGGTCAGAGATCTACTTTTAATATTGTTCTCCCATGTTGCATCGTCTGCTCAAATTCTCCCTTTCACTATAACTACCAAAAACCTACAAGCTCTGCCCTATATTGGATTACGCTGCTGTAGAATGAGTGACCGTTACTCTCAGTTATACCACTGCAGGGAGTTTTGCCAGAGGACCCTGGGGGTTCCTTGCACAGGTACATGTCCAGAGGCAGAAGGTGTTGGGAACGGTGTGAATAAGATGACCTGCCATGCAGTCCTATTCAGCAGACCTGCCTGTCTCCTGGCAGAGCCATTACAGGATACATTCCCAGGGGCCCAGTATAGCTTTACAACCAGGCCAGCCGGGCTGTGAAATTGTGCACTAACCACATGGTGAATAAACGTTGCTGTAATCTGGCATGTAGCAGCAGCATAATAGTCCCTTCACTTGCGGTCCTCTGAGAGCTATTATTGGCAAACAGAGGAGAACATTAAATGTCACTTGTGGTTCTGCTCTCCACACTTCACGTCCTGTTCCTTCCAGAGACGCATGTTCACGCCTGCAGATGAGATGAGGCGCAGCAACAGGGGTGCCATCAGCCACAAGTATGAGAACAACACACACTTAGCACGCAAGTGTGAGGCAGACAGTGTGGTGTTTTCTCCCAGCCAAAGTGCCTACTGGGTGTGTTACTCTGTTCTTTACAAATAATAGTTGCCCAGAACTCATTTTCAGAGGCTGCAGCACAGTTCTGAGCTGTGAGAGTGTTAAAAGAAAAGGCCGAGAGTATTTGTGGTGAACAATATCACCCAAGGGGTGTGAGAAGACAGAATTTCAGATCAAGGACAACTTTAGGGGAACTTTGAAGTATGCCTGACCCTGACCAAAGGCAGCCTTGGTGCCTGAATGCAGACACATTCCTCCTTTGCAAGCGCAGCCTTACCTGCCCCACAACTTTACAACAGATTTACCTTTCATGTGATGCCCAGTGAGTTACAGGTAGGCATGGCCTGGGCAAAATGCTCCCATGGGCCAAACTGGGAAGCCCGGCAGGCTTAACTAGGCCTGCAGGCTGGAGAAAGCTGGGAGTAAGCTGAGAGTAGTCTGGGAGTATCTCCCAAGGGCTGCCATTGTCATGTTCTTCCTGGAAGCTCACTTAACACATTCCTTTTCAAGCATCTGTTGGCCTTCATTTCCCTTAGACACAGGACAGGGTGTTGCATAGACCAGTGGTTTTCAACTAGTGTGCCGTGGCACCCTGGGATGCCTTGAATGATGGTCAGGGGTGCCACGGGCAACACTGGCCTCTGTCCATCTTTCCTTCTCTCACTCCTCTGATGCCCTCTCACATCTGTGCCTCCCAAAGGTTTGCACAGCTGTTAGTTGCAGCAGCTCTGGCTACAAGCTCCCCAGGTGAATGGTGCCTAGGGGTCTGGCCAGGAGCTAGTTTCCAGGAACTCAGGCAGCTCAGAGACCAGGGGTGGCTGCAGCGGCTGCCTGGAGGACTCCCAGGGAGAAGGAAGAGAAGAGGAGGAGGGAACATCCACAAGGGAGGGTGTTTGAAAAAGGGTGAGATGCTACCAGCTTGGCAGGCAAGGGGTGACATAACTGGGCTCCTGAGCCCCACGGGAGTGCTGCAGAAAGAAGGTAGTTGGTCAAGGGAGCTGAAAATGGTCAAGAGGTTGAAAACCTTTGGCATAGACAATTAGAATCCATTCTAGTACTGCTGCTCAGCTAATTGATGAACCCATCCCTTATGAGAACATTGGATCTTGCCTTATCCTAAGTCAAACCATTGGTCTATCTAGCTCAGTACTGTCTACAGTGACCAGTGGTGGCTCTCCAGGATTTCAGGCAAGGGTTTCTCCCAGCCTTACCTGAGGTTGCACAGGTGGAACCTAGTACCTTTTGCCTGCAACTGGGCCACAGTCCTTCCCTCAAACCAGGACGTGACAGGAGAAGGAAGACAAGAGAGCAACTTTGACCCTTCAAGTTCTCCTGGGTCTGGGTAGATGTTGAGATCTGTTCAGTGTGATGTGCCACAGAACCTGAAGCTGTGCTGATCAGCCCAGGACAGCCTTGGATGGAGTCTAAGCACTACTGTGACATGACAGGAATTGGATCCTGCCCTGATGGCTGCTGGGTAGGAGCGGAGAGTCTCCCAGGCTCTTGCAGCAGCTGGAGGAATAGCTGAGCTGTACCTTGTCATCACCTCTTCCTGACAGAGTCCAGAGCATGGGGGTGGATGGGAACTGAGTTCAGTGCCATTGGCAATCAAGGCTCCATGGCTGTTTTGTACAAGGCACTTTCCACTTCATTCTCTACATCCACAGAGCTGGATGTGTGTGTGTAGAATTAAAGCCTTTGTGACCCAAGATGCAGGTGTAACTGAGTCAGTACCTACTGCAAGATGTACTACCATGGCCCCTTCTATTTCTAGGGTAGCCAAGTGGCCAGCCTCCTGGCAATCCAAAGGCCACCGGTTCAAGCTGTTTATTCCTCATAAGCAGCAAGTGCAGATTTGTGACTTTTCTATCTAGCAGGACCAGAAAACTTTGTCCCACTGCACTATATATTTTCTGCTCGTAGAATATGGATGGTATTTGAAGACACTGTCTTTTATCTTTGATCTTCAGAGCAGCAGCAGAGTTGAAAGACACTCATGTTGGCAGGTTGAATTATCCCTGGATCTCTGAACTCAGCCACATGAGCTCAGCTATCAGAGCATCTGCTTCGGCAGAGCATCTCTGTAGCTGGAGCTTTCATTCTGACTGAGCTGGATGGGCCATGGCATGGAAAGCCAAGGAACGGAGCTCTTGCAGTGGGCGCCCAGCCTGAGTTCATTGCCAGCTGATGGGCAGCCAGGCTAAGGCAGTGATTGATGCCGCGGCTTCTCTCAGCAGCTAAGGGTCTGCACAAAGGAAAGGCAGCATGTGGAAAAGTCTTTGTCACCGAGCGAGAGGGAGGATTTGGTTTCACATCCCAGCAGCCCTACACAGGCCCAAACGGCTGCTTTCATCTCGGTGATAGCTCCCACGGGAAAAGAGCGGCCGCCACACCTCACCCCAGGTTCAGTCTGGCCTTGCTGTTATTGTTGATGGTTTTTTTAAAAAACAAAAACCCTCTAGCAACTCACCTGCTGAGGGCAAAAAGGAAAGATATTGGCTAAAAGTGTAATGAGAGATGCTTTTAAAAAAAGAAATGGAAGGACAGCCATTCACAGTGCCCTGAAGATAAATAGCACAGAAGAGGGAGTCCTGTTCCACATTAGGACTACCTTGAAGCACTTGCAAATCCTACAGAAAACTCTCCTACATCTCTCTTTCACACATACACCACCTCCCAAGACTTGGACCCTTCTGGGGGCCCCATACTCTCAGTCACCTGGTATAGCGGTGACTTAAGAGAAAATGACTTATATTGTTATTTTATTTATTAAATGTATATACTGTCCTTCACCCAAAGATCTCAGGATGGCTCACAAGATAAAGTTACAAAATAAAAGCACAAATAAACATTATATTTGCATGCTCAGTTGATGGCATGTGTGATTTTGGTTTGGGACCATGTAACACTTGTTCTTCTGCATGTGTCCCCTGGAAGGCTGACCATTATCTGTAAGCTATATATCCTTTCCTCTTCCCCTCCACCTCGTTATTAGACAGATTTATTTATTTCATATATTAGTCATTTGTTGACCGAGTCTTCTAGGGGAGGAACAAGACAAATTTATTAAAGCATTAAAATATCAAATCAGATCCAACCTCCCCCCTCCTTTTTTGCCCTCCTGGACCAAGGCATGATGAAGAAAGAAGCCTCCAAGGAATGCTCCCCCTCTCAGTCTTTCTAGGGAAGAATACGAATTGGGGGTTAAGGATAACCTGCTTTTTCCAACGTACCTTGGTCACTGGAAAAAACATGATGTCCTTTTGTACTGTGGATCCACCCAAAGAACCTGGGATAGCTCAGTTGGTAGAGCATGGGACTCTTAATCACAGGGCTGTGGATCTGAGCCCCACATGGGGCAAAAGATTCCTGCATTGCAGGGTGTTGTATTAGATGACCCTCACAGTCACCTCCAACTCTACAATTCTTTTTTTTTTTTTAATGGGGAGGGGGTTTTGACTTCTCTAATCCATTTTCCTGATGCCCAAAGATGTGAGGCTGAAGGAGCCAGAACCAACAGCTGATTATCTGAGAGACAACTGTAAGAAGTCCAGAGTCTCCCAGGGACTCAGCTGCAGAAGAATGCAAAATCTACAGCTCATTACAGGCAGGACTCTGCATTTGCGGCAGCCCTTCTGCTTCCCAGATCCCCACCGCTGCATTCCAGGGGCCTGCTGGCAGTGTCTCTCAGATTGGTACCCTGGACCAGGCTTGTAAATTCCTGGCCGAGGAGATCCAGAGCTTCTCGGCGCTGCCAAGAGTTCCACTTGCAAGGTGTAGAATTTATTAGACTGAAAAAAGATGAAAAGAAAACCTGCTACTTTTAAAGACCTTTTACATACGGTTTCCTTATTAGAGTCCTGAGCGCTTGGAACAGCAACGGCCTCAGCATTTTTGAAGAGCTACAAATGAGCGGGTTTGCATTAAACTGGAGGGAACTGCCCTGCTGTGTGAAGTTGTGAACTCCTTTCACCTTCGTTCCTATAAATCTAAACTGCGTTCAGCTCCGTTTTCCTGACTCTTTAGTCTTTCCCTAAGGAGCCGGCTGCCCTGGCTTTGGTTGTTACTACAGCATGTTTTCAGGACTCTTAAGACTCCTCTCCTGCCCCCCCCCCTTCTCCTGCTTGTGCACCCCCCCAAGAAACCCCTGACTCTCTTGCTCTTGTGTACCCCACAAGGGTCCCACAGAGACTTTCACAGTGGACCAAGTTCCAGCTCCAGAGGTAATCCTGCCCCCATCTGCTTTCAACATGTTGTGCTTGACATTAACTAATGTCTCCTATTAGCACTGAAAGAAACCAATCTGGAAAAATGTATTTTCAAGCCGAGTTCAAACAGGCCACAAGGAGCAGTGGATTTTCAGCTGCTCATAGCTTTTTCTTTCTTTCTTTTTTTCTTTCTTTTTTTGTGATGCAGCCAAGAGTCTGAGGAACAGGTCAAGGGCACAGAAGTCAAGCACAAATCCCCTGATTTACTGACTGGGAACAGGAAAGGCAGGGAGGAAAAACTGAGACTGATATGGCAGAGACACTGCAAGTGGACGGGCGGAGAGAGATAAGAGAAAGGGGTGGGTGCTGTGTTGCACATCTGACAACAGGGAAAGGGATAGCCAGGCCTGGCCTGAAATGGGGACACAGAAATGTAGATGGGGACAGAGCTAGTACAGTGGAGATCAGAGTACAGTGGAGAAGCAGTGTAGTTTAGTGGTTAGAAAGTTGGACTAAGGCCACATTCACACCATATATTCAAAGCACTGTGATACCACTTTAAACAGGTATAGCTTCCCCCAAATAATTCTGGGAGCTGAGCGTTGTTGGGAGGCTCCTGTTTCCCTCACAGACCTACAATTCCCAGAGTTCCCTGTAAAACCACTGTGAGAATTGTACTGCTGTGAGGGGAATAGGGACCTCGTACCAACTCTCAGCACCCTTAACAAACCACAGCTCCTAGAATTCTTGGCAGGGAAGCCATGGCTGTATCATAGTGGTATCATAGTGCTTTAAATGTATGGTGTGAATACGGCCTCAGACCTGGGAGACCAGAGTTCAAAACCTCACCCAGCCATGAAGCTCACTTGGGTCTGTCTCTCAACCTAATTTACCTCACAGGGGTTTTGTGAGGATAAAGTGTGGAGAGGGAGAATTACCTATGCTACCTTGAGCTCTCTGGAGGAAAAGTGGGATATAATAATGTAGTAATAAATAAATATGTGAATACAAGACATAGTGTGTGGGGGTCAACATGTCATATATCTTTATTGGTTAAGAAAATAACTGCTGTTCTGGAACAGCAACTGCAGAAAGGATGGTGTGTGTGTGTGTGTGTGTGTGTGTGTAAAAAGAGGTGTAAAAAGAGGTGTAAAAAGAGAATAGGGCAAAACAAGAGGCCACGGTCACACTGCATACCTATAGCAAATAGGTAAGGAAACCAAGCAGTCTGGTGTGGTAGAGACCCAATAAGAACAGACTGGTGATGGGGCAAATTCAAAAGATGCAGAATGGAACATGGTGTTGCACACCTACCGGCAAAGGGTTAAAGTTCTGGTCCACAAGATGGTTGTGCCCATGGTCAAAAAATGAGTGTCGCATTACTACGTCAATGCCCTGACTGGACAACATCCCAAGGGAGTTCAGCCACCTGGCAAAAAAACAGAGGACTTAATCAGTATGTTAAAGAGTAGCAGGAGATGGATCCCCAGAACATTCTTCTACATTCTGCCTCAGCCCCACAGATTCTTGGCTCCCATACTTAAGACCAACTGAAGTATTAACAACAGATTTAGTTCCTTCTATCAAGGAAGTACAAACGTCTTCATCTCCATTTTTTCCTCACAGCATCCCTGTGAGGTCGTTTAAACTGAGCAATAGTGACCGGCCTGAAGTCATCCACTGAGGTTCACTGCTGAGCAGAGATTGGACTGCTTATAGTGTAGAATTACTATTCTTTATTCAGTCATTTTTATGGAGAATTCAAATGAGCTCATAGTCAACCAGTTGGAATGATTGTGTTGTCTGTGTTGCCTTTTTGCCGAGCTGATTTGTTTGGTTTTTAAGAGGTAAAATGCAATTGCAATATTCTATGTGGACTAGCAAAGCACTACGGCTACTGTGTCTTTAATTATAAGCTTTCTTATTGTTCAGTGCAACCAACAATCTGTCTTTTCATTACCCCTTAATTAGTCAATTATTTGTACCCTGGTGAGTTTTAACTATGGATTTCTTCTTGTTTTTTATTCTCTGAAATAGCATTATTTTACAATCGAAAAGAAAATTCAAAAATGAAAAGAAAGCACCCCACACACAATAACAGAGACTAATTAAGAAGTTCTTCAACACTGCTGCTGCCTTCATGAATAGGAAGCAATTAGAGATAGAAGACACAATGAGGAAGCTTCTTCATAAAGTTACAGGCAACCTTCCCCAAAAGAGACTTACTTCATAGTAAACATTATAGAAGAATCTTGGCCATAGGGACCAGCATCTTCAGATAATATAGTGCTATAATAAACGCCATATGGAACTTGCTAACTGTGGAAAAATAATGCCTTAATTCAAAAGGGTTCTAGTGTGGATGAAATTTTGAAGTGCAATGTCTCTTTTTCAAGTCCAATACTCTAGCGATGGACAAATCAATTGAAGTCCATGTTGCTTTTGCATGTGTTCACCCGTGTCACTTTTGCATGGATTCATTTTTTTCCTGCATTGATCAACAAATATTTTTTAAAACCTGTACAAAAATTCACATTTTAAAGATATGGATTGAATCCAGCTATATAGTGAATGTGGAGAATGACTTCTGCAAGTGCAATGGAATACCTCCCTCTCTTCTCCCCCCATGTCACCCCCAGATCTGCTCCAGAGGGTTGGGGGAAGCAGACTGGAGTGTAGGGGAAGCTCCACTGTACTTACAAAAGTCATTCAATGGTACATAATGATGGGCTAGTTAGATAAAAACCAATTTTTAAATATTTATTTTTAAAGGCTTTTTCTCTTAAAATACTTTTTCTAATATACTCTTTCTCAAAATATTCATTTTAAATGCATTTTGCCACATTTAACCAAGAATGAACAAACATGAGAATTTAGTTTCTTTCAGTTTCTCATTTTGCCAATCTTAAAATTTAGTTCATTTCTGCATCAGTTTGTATGTGGTTTTAAGTCAGCATGAAAACACGCAAACACATTAAAATAAAACACATTAAAATACACACTAAAATTCACATTAAAATACACACCCAATCAATCCCTTGTTTAAACTGCTGAAAATTGAGTTGCAACATTCAGAAAAGTGTGAAAGTTTGTGAATAATTACATTAATCCAGATCAGACCAGTTTGAACTGGAATTTGCAAAAAACAAATTCTTCAAGTATCCCTACCACACCCTATCCAGCACACAGCACTACTTTCTTATCCAGTTTGCACTCTGATAAAAGTCCTCTGCTCTTCTGGCAGCAGAAATTCAAGCGTTTTTCAAGAGATAGATGCTAATATGATAAAATGTTGTGAAGTTATCTGGTGAAAACCACTTTTGGGAACACGGTCAATGCTACACATTTTCCCCATTTCCATTAAAGGCTGTGCTGGAATTACTGTACACAGTTATATAGATCCCAGCTGAGATATTCAGTGATAGCCAAAAAAACAATTCCATGACTATCAGTGATGGTCCCTGAGGTTAGGGAGAAGCAAAGCGATTGCACAGAAATAAAATAGAAAGAAAAGATGCAATTTTAGAAGTCATTTCTATTTACTCATTTTAGCTGTGAGGCTGCAATCTTACTTATACGCTTAGTAAACCCCAGTGAATTTGGGAGTAAGCATGACTGACTGACTTGGGAGAAGTCATGCACAGAATTTGGTTGCACGTGTAAAATAGCACAGAGCAGGCAGCAATTTTCAAGTAAATCCTGTCTGCTGATGTACAGCTACGCCATCTTCACTGTACATCTGACGTTCTAATGAGCAAAGACAAACGGGGCGGGTGCTGATAGGGAAGAGAATAAGGGCATGGGAACTTTCAGCCAATCAGCACTCTGACCAAGCTGCTGGGAAAGGAATAAACAAGCAAACAAGCAAGCAAGCAGGCAAGCAGGCAAACAAACAAACATCATGCTGAGATATCCCAAACTCTATGGCTCAAAAAGCTGGACTCTATATAAAACAGGCTTCTCCAACCTGGTGTTCTCCAGATGTTTTGTACTGTGACTCCCACCAGCCCCAGCCAGAATGGGCTGGGGATGATGGGATTTGTAGTCCAAAACATCTGGAAGGCACCTGGTTGGAAAGGCTGATATAAAGTATACAGATAAAACAGATTGGTGTTTATTTTTTAAAAAATGTATTCCATTTCTGTAAGTCGCTGGGAGGGACAAGGAGCTCTGCAAGGCACTGATGTCCTTCCTTCTCTCTGACCACAGAAAATATTAAATTACTCAATTCTCTGACGTCAGAGATGTCTCCAGAAAATGTTCCAAACCTACCACATAAGGGTCCAAAGCCTTCTTACTTGGGTGGTAAAGAAAGCTAAAATTCTCATGAAATTGAGTTTTGTGCTTCACTAGACCAATTTTCTATACTTGTAGAGAAGGGAGAAAAGACACATAGCCTTGAATCACCCTTGTCAATGGCAAAGCCAGGCTGTAAAAAACCATCCTGAAGAACAGGCAAGATACGCACTTTGGATAAGTGAATGGGATGGAATGGGACCTCATTGAAAACAGCCTCTTTCACTGGCAGGATTTCCTTAGATCTTGAAAACTAGCCATCCAGTTTATCCTTAAAAAGTTTCTCCATGGAAGGAAATTCCATAACTTTGGGGCAGTTTGTTCCATTGTCCAAGTGGTCATAAAGTTTTTCCTGTCTCTTTCTGGTAAACAGATGCTTTTGGTTGGAAATTTCTTATGAAGAATTTACAATAATGCATTCACAGTGAAATCCTATATATGTTTACTCAGAAGAAAGTCCCACTGTATTGAATGCATTTCATTCCCGTGACAGTGTGCATAGGGCTGTTGCTTTTCAGTGCAATTCTATACATGTCTACTCAGAAGTAAAACGGGACTACTCATTAAATTAAATGGGACTTTCGCCCAGTTAAGTGGGTCTAGATCAATGCGCAAAGTGTTCTGAAACTTTTATTCTGGAAATAAGGCAGAGAATCAGTTCACTGGGGGGGGGAGACACTGCATGTGACCTTAACTGTGGAGTTCTGTCCATGTGCACGCACACACACACTACTTCCATGGGGGACATGGCCCTTATCAGGACCTGAATTTGTGGGGCTTTAATCCTTTGTCCTTCTGCTGTTGTCTCAATCTGGATTGTGCTTCCTGGGCCTGCAATTTTCTTTGCAGACAAGATAAAACAAAACAAAACAAAACCCCATGTTGGAACTTTTTTTTGCTTTTGCTATTTTCAATGTATGCTTCCCTCCCCAATCCAGACTGGGACTGCAGCAAGATGCAAAGAGTTAACCTCTCCCCAACCTCCTTGCTAGGGTTCCAAACTGGATTTGGGGTGCTGGACTGGGGAACTGGTGAGGGATGCTCAAGGACAAGCAGCCAGGGGACAACCAGCTGACATACCTATTGATTAATTATCCATTGACTAATTCCTTGTCTCCACATCACACACACCACCAACAACATCACCAACAAAAACACACTCAGGTTGACTCACAGGAAGCTGGCAGCATAGGAATCTGAGAGGTTGGTGATGCCTCCTTCAGAGGTGGCTCCGATGCCCTCGAGCCAAATCCTTTTTCCAGGCACATGTGCATTGACAACCTATTGCCAAAATAAAAGGGCAAGGATGGTCAGTTATCTTCAGTAGGCAGCTAGTACTCATAAAATGCTATGGATGTAGACAGGTTAGCACAAATAGGATTACTTGGCTTTGCATGGCTTAATGAGGTCACAGAGTAAAGGTAAAGGGACCCCTGACCATTAGGTCCAGTCGTGGCCGACTCTGGGGTTGCAGTGCTCATCTCGCTTTATTGGCCGAGGGAGCCGGCGTACAGCTTCCGGGTCATGTGGCCAGCATGACTAAGCCACTTCTGGCGAACCAGAGCAGCGCATAGAAACGCTGTTTACCTTCCCGCCAGAGTGGTACCTATTTATCTATTTGCACTTTGACGTGCTTTTGAACTGCTAGGTTGGCAGGAGCAGGGACTAAGCAACGGGAGCTCACCCCATCGTGGGGATTCGAACCGCCGACCTTCCGATCAGCAAGCCCTAGACTCTGTGGTTTACACCACAGCACCACCCGCATCCCAGGTCACAGAGTACAGGTGAGTAATAGGTGGGAAACACCATGAGCTAAAAAATAAAATAAAAAAATCTTACTAACACCACCCATTGCCTGGCATCAACCTTCCTCACCTCTCCCCCACGTCCAGTACCTGCACTGGTCTTACTCCAACCCCTTAACATACAGGTCTTTGCAGGCCTTCACTTCAACCATTTCTTAAGTGCCCAAGGAGCCTCTGATCCAGCACTGGCTCCCTTCCCTAGGCTTATGTGTCCCATCTGAAGTACCACATAGCATGCTGGTGAAGAAAGCACCCCACTGTTGCAAGATGGGGGTGTTATTTCTTCAAAGTCCCATCTCCTTACAGAAATAGAAATTACACGCACACACTAACTTGTGTAGGATATATCCCATATACATAGATAAACTTCCCTTCCAAGTTACATCACATTAGGCTGGCATGCCATCTAACCATGGGGCAACCCTACCATCTTCCTGACTGCAAAGGTTGCCCTCATTCTCAGTTTTAAAAAGTTGATCATCTCTGATCCTCACATGGTGACTCCTTTGCATATATGTTCATTGAAAGCTGCCCTTCAACCAGCACTGCACAAAAGGGCCACTTTCACACACTGTATTTGTCATGTGTATATACATAAACATGTGTGCACAGCTAACACATTTTTCACTGTTTTTATGATATAAATACAATGCACCATGGAGCTGGGATCAGACATAGCTCCTTACTGTATGTACAAGTATAATGTGTAAATTTGCCAAAGAACTAAATAAAGGAATAGCAGCCAAATGAAAGGGGGGAAATCTGGTTAGTGCTCAGATGGTCAATCTACATGGGTGCACAAGGTCTAACTCCTCCATAAGCCAGGACAGGATTTCAGACTCTAAACTGTTCCTGAGAAACTGAGAATAGGAACTATGGCGGTGGCAACTATGAAGCAATCTCACGTCACAACCATGCCAGATTGCATAATGAGAGTAATAATAGTCCTGGGCACAGGGTGGCAACGAACTTGCTAGTTTTGGGGCAGCCAAAACTTTCTCACAAGGCCTTGATTCTAAGACCAAATTGGGCAGTGGTACTTTGCTGAGCATCTGAAGTGGTGAAATGGAGATATGAGCATGGCATCAGAGGTACCGGCCTGGGAAATGCCATCGTAACACAAGACAAACCTTGGCAGCACAGACATGCCCAGGACAAGACGGCGCCAGCAAACAAAAGCACATCAGTGACAACAAGGACTGAGGATGCCAGCTTGCATCTCCTTCTGCCTTTGCACAGGAGACCTGTCAGAGTGCCTAGGAGATCTGGCCACTTGCCAGACCTGGCTTCATTACCTGAAGGCAGCATCTTGTAGCAATAAAACAAGGCAAGAGCATAGAAAGGGGCTCATAACTTTAATTAGTGGCACTTCACCTAATATTTGTGTTGGGTTCTCTAACAGAATGATTGGTCCCCTATTAGGATCAGCCTGATAGCCCAGATGAAAATCCGACCCCAAATTAAGATTTAAAAAGTCCTTTCTGATAAATCATGTTTGTTTTGATGAGTCGACCATTCTAGTCAACAATGTATCAAACATTCCTGCCAGGAAGCCTCATAGCTAAGCAAGGTGCATTCCATAAAGAAGAGCCATATTTCCATCTTACTTTTCATTTTAATTTCCAAAGGTCTATTGCCTCACCCTCAATTCCTATCTTGTTGAGACTATAGTACATTTACTGCCATAATCTACCAGAAGTTCTGATACTACTACAGCTTGACTGACTCCAAAGTAGCCATTCCAAATGCTCCCATAGGGACAGAGCCTGTCTATGGGGCATATCTTGGATATCTTCATACCTACTCTCCCAGCTTTGCTTAGCCTGACTTGAAAGCTGGGATCCTGCAGGGCCCATAAGTAGCAAGGTTGGTCCCAACTGAAACCCCTGCTAGGTGCGTCTAGAACTGGGCAGAGTAAGCCCAGGAGAATGCTCCCCACCCTTGGAGACATGCTGCCCTCTTGCCCCAGCTCACTCACGCACTTTCTGGATTTTCCTGATCTGGTCAGAGAGTGTGTCTAACAGGCGCGTTTTCAGGAAGTCCGTCACCTTGGCCACTCGGCCATCAAGGTAGTAACTGGAATGAAAATGAGAAGGCAACAGTCAGAGAGGGGCTGCAGTTATGTGCTCTCCCTCACCCTGGCTAAGGACCGCGCCTCTGATGCCCACATTCGGGGTTCCCCAAAGGTTGCTCTCTGTTCTGCATAAGATGAGTTGCTCTTACTGACCTTTGTTTCTTCTACCACTCTCTTCTCTGTGCCTTCTGCCACAGGATGCTCCCTGTGCCCAGAGGACCCTCCCCACAATTTCCCTCTCTTCTAAAAGCCCTTCCATAATCCATATCATCAGCAAAGTCTTTGCCTGCACCTCCACTTCCATTTGCACAAGTAATTGTGCAATTAGTCCCTGATCTCTTCTTCCTACTAACTTGTCCATCTAATGAAGACAGCAAGCCCTCTGGGCAGAAACACATTTCTATGTTCCGCACAGTGCCTGCCACCACATCTGGTGCAAAATAAAGAGAAAAATATTATTAAGGTTCCCAACCGTGAGTTTGCCCATCCAGTCAGGCCCTTCTGCTCACATTGTGCATATTAATTGATTGACCAAGTATGAATACACTGCTACAACTAACCTCACCACCCTGTTCTTTCTGACACATGAAAGAACAGGAAATGCACAATTCTTCACCAGATTTGAGAGGCCGTGTGTCTCTCAGCACCAGTTTCTGGGGCACAATAACAGGGAAGGGTTATTGTGTTCATGCATTTGTAGGTGTCCCAAAGGCATGTGGTTGGTCACTGTGGGGGAAAGGGTGCTCAACTAGATGGATAGTTGATTTGATCCAGTGGAGTTCTTTTTATGCTCTTACCATCACCAGATCCTGTAAAGAGATAGCTGGACCAATGTTTCAGAAACCATACACTGACCACGCCATTACCACCCTCCATTAGCCACGCTGAGTTTCCCCATGAAAGAGTGCAATATATAGGTATAACAAATCCAATGCATGAATGAAAAGAGAGGGTAAATGGGACTAGATTTATTGCAGAGGCAACAGTGTAAGCTGAAGGATAATGTCAGCAGAGGATCTTTTCTGAAAAAGTACTGGATGGATTTAGACTTGGGTTAGAAAGTTTCACATAAGATCAGAAAATGACAGGCGAGGATATGCTGGTTATAAGACACACTTGGGAGTTTTCTTTCCAAACATGAGAGACTGGTCACCAGGCAGGCAAGATGGGACAGAACTTTATCAGTGTTTTTACTATTGCATTGCTTAAGTGTCTCCAGCTTCTTTGCAAGGATAGGGAGAACACCAGAGCAAAGTGACCCCACATCTGGTGATTCTCTTGGCTGCTCCACTAGGTCTGGTAGGTAGCTGCCCAATGGCAATCAGTTGTTTCCAACACTCCCGTTTACTTTTATTGGAGCATTCCCTTTTCTGCATGATGCATAAAAAATGTCCTTGGGCTTTTGAGACAGGCAAAACAGACCTTTCCTGCTGAGAAGGGGGTGGGTGTGTCCTAGACCTTTCTTAATGCTACAGGATTAGCACCTGCTGTCATGCTGAAACTGTGTGGCTCCTCTGCATGTGTTTCAAGGGAAGTCTGTTGTGAAAAGTTTGAACCACTGACCACGTTCACATGTAATGCTAAGCCATGATGTGTGTTGGTTTTTTGAACCATAATATGCACAAGTAGTATGCTGATGCATACAGTTCAAGCATTCCTGCTTTGCTCCTCCCTTCATCCAGCTGGGAGGAACAAACCACAAGTTCTGGCTTGGCATGATGTCATCCTAGCAAGTGCTCCTCCTAGTACATTGCTCCCAAACAAACCACAGTCGGCGAGACAAGAATAATAAACCTTGGCTTCGCAGCATGGTTAGTTTGGAGAGGAACAAATAATGCACACTGGTTTGGACATAATGCTAAAGTCAAGGGTTGTGGTTTGCTTTCCCCAGCTGGGAAGAGCAAAACAGGAGTGCTAGTGCACATTATGGATAAACAAGTCGCACACCTTGCCTTAGTGTTACATGTCAGCACATCCCTTGGATTAAAACAAAGGGACTGCACAGCATGTTTGACTTAAAATGTTTGCTAGCACATCTGGAAGCATAGTGGGGAATGCTGTTTGGACAAATATGGCAGGAGTTGAGCCCTACAACTGAATGGTATAGTTACTGTGAGGTTTGGGGTTAGGAAATTAATGAAGAAGTTGTTTAAAGTTTGGCATAGGCCCAACAGACCGCACTCCTTCCCAAGAGCAGTAGTCTGAAGCTCAATCAGGCTTCTGAGCAAAATAATATCAGCTTCAGTGGTAGCAGAAAAAAACATTCTTTTCATATATCATAAAGATACCACAGTCTCTGTTGTGACACATTGTCCCAAAAGGAAACATAGACCCTGGTTAGTGCATCTGCATCCCTTAGAATCTCACACCATTCATGGAGATTTGAGTGGTATGTAACAATACATTTGCTCTGCTGGCAGCTCTCCAGTTCAGGAACTTAAAGAAGACTGGAAGGGTTCTTTTCCTCTCCCCATCAACATGTTAACTTCAGCAGCAAAAGCCCAAGCTGAATCATGGACAAGAAATGTCTATTACATATCTAATCATGCAATTCAGCACCACATCACTGTCTGCACTGTGCTTGCTGCCTACCTGCATGCTTAAAAGCCCATGCAAGCCATTTCTGGGGAGTTGGGATGCCAGCTGCCTCTTACACTAAGCAAAACTATGAAAGCATCAGTATCTTTTAAAGACACCACCCACAATTAACGGCCCAAACCATTAGCCTCAGATGGGATTTAATGAGCAGAGTTTGAGGGCTTCAGAACAGCTGTTTTTGTTTTACTCCTCTTTATGGTAGAGGAACCTTTGCCCCATTATCTGACCCCCTCCTTTTATTTCAGTTAATTGCATTAAAGCCATTTCCCAACACTCAGGAATTTCCAAATCCATTCCTGCTCCAGGAAGGTCTGCTTGGAATTAGAGCCCCACCACCTCCTCTCTTCATCCCACCTCCCGGTTTTTTCTCACTAGCTGGGAAAGGGGAAGCTGGCACCTTCCCCCTGCAGCTATTCAGCAAGGCACAGGTTTCCTGCACAAAGTACTTCCTCCGTCTCTGGTATTGCCACCATTTGCTCCCTCTCAGTTCCTGAAAATCTAGCTGATGATGATGATGATATATTATTATGTATATAACCCGCCCATCTGCCTGGGTTTTCCAGCCACTCTGTGCAGCTCCCAACAAAATACTAAAAATACGATAAACATCAAACATTAAAAACTACCCTAAACAGGGTTGCCTTCAGATGTGTTCTAAAAGTCAGGTAGTTGTTTATTTCTTTGACATCTGATGGGAAGGCATTCCACAGAGCGGGCGCCACTACCGAGAAAGCCCTCTGCTTGTTTGTCAGAAGCTATTTCCTTTTTTCAGGTGTGATCCCAGACTCTTACAGTTTTGATTTTAGCCACTTCTGGAAATTCTCTTTCAACTGTACTCTGCAAGTGTTTGAAGTCTGACTCTGGGGCGATTGGTCTGTGATGTGGATGGTGGTGTTTGTGAGCCCCACCCCATTGAATTGCCTATCTACCAATCTGCTTTGATCACTTCTAAAACAAATTCACATGATTCCCTACAACATATCCCTCACCTCCGATGCTGTCCACTTTCAGTGAAAATTCATTGTGCCTGCTGTTTTGCTCCAGTGCTGGGGCACACACACTACTTTTTTAGCAACTAACCTTTCCCCTACAAAGCAACTACAGCAAGGATGGCAGCAGGCCCTCTTTACAGGGAAAGGGGAGGGCAGATGAAGTTTCCCCAGAAAAAGCAGGAGCTTATTTGATGGGGAAAGGGTGTGCGGGTGAAGTTTTCCCAGAACTTCCCCCTGAAAAGGCTATCTATTTCATGGAATCAAGGTATGGAACAAGTAGCAAAGAATCAAGCCCAGCATTAGTACAACATTCTGTAATTAAACTCATGCCATTGCTGCTATCTAAAAGTGCTGATTTTCTCACAGTTCATGTTAGATTGGGGGGGGGGGAATGTGTGACCCACATGGATGGGCTTTGTCCTTCGTGATAGAGAGATGGACACTAACCACCCAGATGAGTAGACACACACTACAGGATATTGCACATTTTCCACTTTGAATTCCTTTCCTCCATTTCAGTCTTAAGGGCATCTCCTGTAGAGTGAATCCTTCTGCAGCAAAATACTCAATGCATTCTTACAACAAATGTTTCATTTGTTCCACTGGTATGCTACAATACCATATGTGCTTACATCAGTGTATATGAACCAAGGCTCTGATTCATGAACAAATACAATGCAAAAGTTCTGTCATCAACCCCACGGCACTCAATGAATGATAGCAACAGATCTCATGCACAGGTAAGATAGTCATTGTGTAGCCACTGTGCCTGGGAGAGTGATCAGCGCAGCACTCCTGAATCTCTGTAAATTTAGAAAAGACGCTTCACTGGAGTCTGGAGTCCAAGAATGAATGGAGTGCTATATGGTATGCATAATTGTTTCCAACACGATTATCATGGAGTTTCACACACAAATGAAGCAGGTATAGTCTGGAATCATGAACCCATGTTATTCCAAATAACACAGAGTTCTCTGTAAGTGCAATTCTGTGGCTATAACCTGGGAAACACTTTTGCATGCACCACAGAACTTCCTTCAGAATGCAAAACTAATGGTGCTTCCGTGTAGCTGAAGGCATTAAAGCACCATAAAGGGGTCTTGCATAATATAATATCTTGCCTAAGTGTAAATCTTGACAAGTTTTGAGGGCCCTTCTTTCTATCTGATTCTATAAAGCTTCACTTTCTGTCAATCACTAGAGAAAGGCTAACACACATCCTGCCTTTGTTCAGTCAAAATCACAATGTTTGAGTGAGAGAGCTCTCTTCCTCATGTGGGGCCTATTGACCATGCTGACTGAGACTGATGGGAGCTGGAGTCCAACAGCATCCAGAAAGCCACCGGTTAGACACCCCTAGCCTAGAGATTACTGACAGTCAATCTCTGGAACAAGGGATAGTTTCAGCACCACTAGTGGATCAACCCCATGGAATCCTGGAAAGCCAGAAATTTATTTTGGCAAAAATGTCTGTACAAGCCAATACCAATTTGGCACAGCATCATTCTGAAGATGCCAACAAATACAACAGAGCATCAACAACTTTCTAAGGACAAGGGACTGTCATTACTTGGCATTCAATCCATGCTTGCTCTCAGGCTATGTTGTTAGGCAGCAGGAACACCAGTCACACTAACCTGAGCAAACTCTTCATTAAGAGAACTGCCTGTGGATCACATCCCATTTTTTGCCACAGCAAGAATTCTATGCCCACCATTTCTAAAAGTGGCTCTTGATCCTGATCAGGTCGTTTTCAGCAACATGGTTAAACCAGGACAATATCCCATTCAGGCTAGGTAAATTCTGCACATGTTTCTTTCTAAAGCTATCACATGACCCCAGAGAGTAGACAGACCTGGTTGCTAAGGTAAATGGCACAAAAGGCAGAAATGTCAATAAAAGTACCTCTCTGTGACTCAACCCACACTTTACTCAGAGTAGACTTGTTGGATTTAATGCCTATGACTAGGTCTGTTAATTTCAGTGGGTCTACTTTGAGTAAAAGTTAGTTGAAAACAGCCCTGTATATTCACAATCAGCTTGTCCTGTGACTGCCAGTTTCTCACACTAGTGAGGAAAGAACAGTACTAGCAGACAAGTTCTGCCCTTTGAAATACTCATCACACAGTAGGTTTCTGTGAGGACATCATCCCTCTACCACACATAGGGCACTGGTGTGCAGCATCCTTTTCTCTGAATATCTTCTTGCATTGATACTGAAATGTGCAAGGCTTATCTTATAGGATTTATTTTTAGCCTACCCTGAGCTTCACACTAGGGAAGCCTCTGACACCAAAACCAACATGAGTGGTAGAATTCCTTGCTACATAGCTGGTATTCTTCTCAAAGTTCTGCTGTCTGCAAGAGTTTAGCCCGTCCATATAACTAGAAAAGTTTCTCCTTAGCCAACAGAGTGAACTCAAGAAAATAGAATGGGAAAGGTAGTCTTAGAAGTCTCTCTCTGTGTTCTTTGTCTGAAGATAGTGTCCTATCGATGTCTGGCTCAGTTCTTGACTTCTGCCCAAATTAATGCATGTTTAGAAATATTGGAAAGGGAAAGGGAAAAATACCTACTGTTGCCATGTAACAGCATCCACTGTGTTCCCTGCCACCTTCATGAACCTGTGAGATACAGAAAATATGTGAGCTTCTGGAAATGAGAGTGGTCCACACACACATACATACATACATACATACATGTACTCACAGCTCACATCAGTACAGGCCACTAACATTCCCAAAAAGTCCAATTATGACATACTGTTCTTCTGCTATGCAATATCACATCAACATTGAATCAGTAGGCTTTTGTCAATTTAAAGTAATAGTTGGATATAGCAAAACCCATACTCTTATTTACTCCAGTTCTGATTGGAAAGAAGATTATTTTTGGAAAGGAGAACCTTAGCTAAACTGGACCCATTAATGAAACTCTCTGAAGGGGTTGGTGAAGGTTCTCAGGGTGCTATGATACTACTGCAATAGCTTCAGATTAGCCCTTTGGTACCGCAGTTGCTCCAAGAACTGACTCCCTAGGGAATAGGGAGAATCAGAAGGATCCAAGAATGAATCTCCTAGAGTGCCTGCACCCCAAAAACTCTGAATGGCAAGGAAGCTTAAAGTGTGCTCCCGGCATCTCCAAGAACCAAAAAACATTTCTTTCCTTGTAGTTTGGTGTTGCGCACCCAGCATGCATATCAAAAACCATGCTATGTTATCTTAGACAGCAAATTTCCAAGGCTTTATGATGCATGCAGTATGGTTTGCAGCAAGCAGCACATCATAAAGTTGTACATGACAATAAGGAAAGTCAGAATTTGGTAGACCTCTTGCAACTTTGCCAGTTTTGCATGGCAGAAACCACCACACATTGCTGAGACTGACTTATTCAAATTTGCATGATTATTTTGACTGCAGTGTTTTGGTTTAGCAAAAACTGGGGCAACAGAAGCCCCAAAAAATCAGGAGAAATTTGGAACAGGGGTAATAAGATATGGGAAGACAATAGGATGTTCCCTTCTCCCAAAAGCTCCTTTTGGTTTTTCTGTGTATACATTTTCAAATCTTCTCCATAGCCATGACAGCCGTGTAAAAAGAACAAGGGCAAGATGCAACACGTTGGGTGGGTGGGGGTAATACCATGCCTCGTATCATATGTTGTGGCTCTGTGACTTGAAACATGCTATGCACACACACACACACACACACACACACACGACAGACAGCAGTCTGTTTGTTTGTTTGTTTGTTTGCTTGCTTGCTTGTTTGTTTGTTTGTTTGCTTGTTTGTGAGTATGTGTGTCAGTTTGGTTGAGAATACAGTGGTGCCCCGCAAGACGAATGCCTCGCAAGACGGAAAACTCGCTAGACGAAAGAGTTTTCCGTTTTGGAGGTGCTTCGCAAAACGAAGCTCCTATGGGCTTGCTTCGCAAGACGAAAATGTCTTGCGAGTTCCTGCGGTTTTTTTTCCCTCCCCCCCCCTTTTTCTAAGCCGTTAAGCCGCTTATCTGCTTATCCGATAAGCTGATAAGCCACTAAAAGCCGCGAAAAGCCGCGAAAAGCCGCTAATAGCGCTAATAGCGCTAATCCGCTAATCCGTCAATGGGCTTGCTTCGCAAGACGAAAAAACCGCTAGACGAAGAGACTCACAGAATGGATTCTTTTCGTCTTGCGAGGCACCACTGTATGAAAAAAAAAGTCTTTCAGGTTCTAGGGCTCCACTTAAGTTCATTGTGTGTGCAAGATGCTCACAACACAGATAGTTCGGATGCTATGATTTTTTCAGCTAGCATAGGAGAACTGGAATACAGGCATCTCCATCTCTTCTACCACCAAGTGTAGGGATAGCCAACATGGTGCCCTCCAACTCCCATCATCCCTGAGCACTGACCATGCTGGCTGGGGTTATGAGAGCTGAATGACATCTGGAAGGCACCACATTGGCTCACCATGATCTAGAGCCCCATAGAACTGATATTTGACTCATCCCCTTCATTGCTGTCAGGAAGGCAGCCAGAATAGTTATTTGTTTGAGCAGTCTCAACATTATCTAGAAAAATATGCACATTTAATGTAATTCTCAGTTCCTTGCTGTGTACATAAATAGCAAAGATGGGCAGAGTAATGAGCAGTCAGTGTGCTCTAGTGGTGATTTATACATTCTGTTCTCCCCATGCCCATCCACATGGAATGAAATGTTAATTTGTAGTCCTGTGAAATGATATGTGCTACTAAATTAAAGACATGGAGAAGTTCAGCCCCAACTAATAACATTTATATGTAGCTCATCTCCCTGTGGTTCTTTCCTCTTTCTTTCAAAGCCAGGGGAGGAGCGTGTTTTATTTTCTATTTGTATTTCTTTGGTTGCGGTGCTTTTAAACAGAGTGCACACCATCTGTACCATTGTGTACATATGCTATAAATAATTTCATGATACATTATAAAAAAATCTATAATCTGGTAGGTAAGGCTACTGTATTTATCATTCACATCTTGTGGTTGACTTCATTCATTTCCATCAATGTGTGTATAGTTCAACAGGAATGTCCTTTTTCTTAAGGTTAATGCCGTCAGGATTGTGGGGGGTTTCTTATCTCTTCCATACAGACCATCATATTTAGCTCTCCTATGAATTATATTATGTCCCTCTATATTTGATGCCCCAAACAATCTACAGTGTTCTTTACTGAGGCCAAAGCAGAGCCAAGTACCATGGTCCTGTTACTCCCACTGTTTTAGATAGGTTGTCTGTGCTAATGAAACCAAGGCTAGCTTTCTCCTAATTTGGAGTACCATTGCACAGCTAATCTTGTTAAAAGAGCAATACCTCTGCCCAATATGTGCATATTTAGCACTTCTTTCATCTTTTCTGATTGTTAATAGTTTCCAATTCCTTTTGCTGAATTTCATTTGTTGCCCATCCAGCTGTCCAAGTTATCATGATTGCCTTGCATGCTATCTCTGTCCTGCAAAGCTTCTGAGTACAAATTTGGTAAGCATCGTGTCCACACTAAGACATTCTATGTGCACATTTATGCACCTTCATATCCAAACCAGAGCACTTTCAACTTTAAAATCTATCTCCATGTTTCCAGTCCACACTAGTGGATTGTCCTTGATTGGATATATGAATGCTGTGGACCTAAGGTCCATTGTGGGTATGCACACAGGCACTTGTTTACCTGTCCAGGCACACTTTTTTATTTCGTTTTTGAAATATCAAGCTTACCAGAAAATGAGATCTGCACAAAGGAGCAGTCAAGAACAATAATAATAATAATAAATGTGTCACTCCAAGTGAGGCAAGGATTTGGAGTTGCTGGTATAAAAGGCTACCACTTCATTTCCTCCTCTTTTCTTTTCACACTTCCTGTACCCACAAGGGCAAATTTTATTTTTCCTTTCAGTACAGCTCTTTTGTGCAAGGGCAGTTCTGTGCAAAAGAGCTTTTTAAAAAAATAAAAATTCCACAAACATGCCCACAGCAACAAGGAAAAGGGCAGGCTGCATTGTTTCCTTTAGGCTGATGGAAACAAAATGGAAGTAGGGGGTGTGGCAAAATAGGAAAGGCGATCTACTTCTTAGTGGACGAGTCTTTGTCAGCATGAGCAGACAAGCTTTTGAAATATTTAGAGGACCACTTCTCAATTTATGATTTCCCTATGTTGACGGGATCACGTTATGTGCAACCCCTCCCTGATCCCTTCATCTCTACCCCACCTGGTGATATTTCTTACCCCCACAGGGAGCCTCCTAGGTGATAATTCATTTACAAAGATTAGAAGAGTCTTTGAAAAATAGAAGTGGCAGGAACAATGTTCAGAAGGTGAAGCTGGTGCCATATCAAGTCTCCAGCTGGAACCAATTGGTCTAACACTGGACCAGATGATTCATCCAGCCAGATCTTGATAACACAAGTTCATAGGAAAGATGTCATCTGCTGATCCAAAAGGCATATCTACATTTTCCATACCTCCCTCTCTGGTATCCACATGGTAACAACCCTAACAGCTGAGTATCTGTAAAAAATGGGATTGTTGGATATACACAACATTCCCTTGGAACACCTGTCCTATCCCTAGTTGAAATAATTAATCTACTCTGAATGTTCAACTGTTTAACAACTTGTATTCCCACCTGATGATATTTCCTTCTACTTGTATTTCCATTTTGCATATGTGAAATGACATCAAAAGCCTTGCTAAAATACAATGCCTACTGTTCTAGCCTGATCTAATAGAGCAGATCCCTGCCAAAAGTCTGCTAGGTTGGCTTTCCCTGTTGTCGTCTTCATAAATCTATGCCAGCTACTAGCAATTACCCTGTTTTCCCATAGGTGCTTAAAACAGATTGATTTATAACCCATTCTAATAACTTCCAGGGTATAAAAGTCAGACTAATGGGCCTATAACTCCTCAATTTCTCCTTTCTTGCTTCTTAAATATAGCCATTATATATCTGTCCTTCTCCATTCTTCTGAGACATCTTCTTTCTTCCATGAAGACTCGAGATAATTGGTACATCCTCATGAGATTTCTTTGGCACGTGATGGTTTTTCTTTGATGTGTGACTTTCTCCCCTGACCCACATCTGTTTTCTCTCCCTGTGTGTCATATATCTACTTTGAAGAGCACACCAGTTTACAGAGTGTGCAGTTTAGGCATCAGGTAAGTGGGTTATGAACAAGCAAGTTGGGAAGGAATGGTCCTCAAGTCCTAGACCATTTCCCTACTTGTATATCTACAGTGACAGTCAGTCACTGGATGGGAATCTAAGAGCTGCTTCATATGTTATACCATGTGTAACAATAGCATTCACTGTAATATGGTGAAAGCATACATAGATGATGTTCTGCTACCACTCCACAGATGACTCATTTATTTCAGAGCTACATAGTGGGTAGTAACTTTTGCTTAACTTTTAACTTTTGCTCAGTAGAAATTAATTGAAATTAATGAATGTGACTAAGTTAGGTTCATTAATTTCAATGGGTCTACTCTGAGTAACGGTTAGTTGAAGACTACCCAATATTTGTTCCCATATTAAATCCAGTTTTTCTATATGTACATCTGTACTACATGACCA